CCTAATGTGTTTTGTGGGCTCTTTTAAAAAGTCTAATACCCTGCATTCAGTGCATTGTTCTGGGGTCTTCCTGTGCTTTCTTTCCTCCCCCCCCTCCATGAAAACAAAAATGACGTGCTTAGCCTTTGTTTGTAGGAACTCAATGCCTTCTATGGCAAATTTGCTCTGGTGTAGTGGAGAGAAATGGAATTGCTAATGCAAGAGCCTATCATTGAAAGATAGTTGCATTTTGTCTGTCTGAGTGGATGATGGAGATTTTGGTGTGACGGGTCACATCTTCTGGTTCAGAAAGTTCCAGGGTTCTTTTGGCAGGTTTACTTTGCAGAGGAGTATTACATTGCTGTTAAGACATTTTCCTTTTTAATTAAAGCCTGCAAGGCATCGCCCTGACCAGACCGTATCCAGGGGGGGTAATCAAGATACCACATGTTTGTTTCTGTTTTGGAGATGTTGTAGGTCCAGTGTTGTGGCTGCGGCAAGCTCAGCTGTTTGTCAAATGAGCGCCTCGGTGCTCCGACGCTACTTTTAGCCCCCCGGCTTTGAGCTGCTTCCAGTGACAACTCTGTCACCTGTGCTGCAGCCCTGGCAACCGAGCCATCACACACTCGCTTCCAAAGACACAGGACACAACACGCAGAGCGTCTCTGAGGCCACGTCAGAATGCAGCCCATCTAGTCTTAGTCTGACTACACTGAACAACCATATTCGCATTGCTGTGGCAGCGCTCAAGCCATCAGCTCATGTCAACTGGCGCTGTGCTTCACCGCTCATGCGCCAACCGTGACCCAGGTGCACATTTATAATTTATGGATGCAACAAACGAGAGCAGTGATGGTATTGAGTTCTCTCTAAGTGGCAATTGGATAGAGCACCCCAAAGGTTAGGCCTCATTTGGGTGTGTACCCTTATGTGTGCACTGATTTAAGTGATCCCGGCTAAGGTTGCTTTGGTGCTGATGATGTGAACAGTAAGGTTTGGTGGAATGCGTCTGTAATCCTGTGAGTGAATAAAATGAATGAACAGAAGTGAGCTGTTACGTCACACTGCTGACCATATGCACACAAGCCCCGGGGATGCTATTAAAATGTCCGTCACGCAGACATTTCTGTGCAGATGTTATTTTGCAGAATGCCTGGGCTCTCCTGGAAACTCATCCATTGGTTTTGTTTGATACCCAAGTGTTTATTTCTCCTTCCTGCGATCACGGAGAGACATTGACCAGCTCAAACGTATAGCTATCTGGTCCTTGGGGGGTTACAGGAGGAGAAAGGCAGTTAGTTCAACCATTTTAGACACCGTTCGCCTCCTAGTCTCAGGTGAATGGGTCTAGCTTTTAGTCCCCATCTGGTGTGCGGAGACCTCCTAACAACCTAATTACTGAGGGGTGTTATTGCTTTCCCGTCCAGATTATAGGCCCCATGTTGAACAATGGAGCACAAAATGTCTGCTGGCTGCAACCAGCTGAGGGATGTTCTTTAGATGGCAGGATGTGGTTAGTTAACTCGGGTTTCCACCCTGCCTTGAAATGGAAGGCTCCTGTGGAGTGCCAGCATCACATCAGTCCTGTGATTTGTGGAAGTGGAACTGAAAAGGTGGAGCTTTGGAATTTAGGACAAAAAAAAACAAAACATGCCCTCGTGTGGCATCTGCATAATCTTTCCCCACTGAATCTTTCTATCTTCTAACACGTAGATTTGCACGACAACCCTTTGTTATTGACTGTTAATGTTGTTCAATGGACTGATGGTGACTGAGGAAGGATAAAACATTCCTTTGTATATGTCTCTCTATAACCAATAGATGATTAGAATCTCAATAATATTGGTTTCTCTCCATGGACCTTCGTTTGAGGTGTACCTGGTATTTAGGCGGCAGCCAATCAATGTGTTCTTTCTGTGCTGCCAAAAGTAGTGCCTTGGGTTTTGTAAATAAAAGTTGTTGTTTTTTTTATTCACTATAATATGCATGTTGTTAAATGCTCCATTTACAAACTAGTTAAGTTGTTTCTGTAATTCCTTGTGGTCAGACATGGTACGTAGCGTAATGTCTGAGTTAGAAATCCTAAAGCTTTTCACATTTTGCATGTTGTAGTATTTTTTAAAGTATTGAGTCCTGTATTTGGAAATGTGTGTATTTGACCTTAAAACCTGCATTTTTGTAGATGTACATTGTTTGTTTCTACGGAGCAGTTATCAGGATTGGTCGGGGCGAAAGAAAACGGAACATAATGTGCCACATCCTCCCCTTGTGTGCCAAGTTGAGGTTGTTATGGCAACCAGATTTTGGTCCTATACCTGTTGCCATGGTTGAGAAAGACGGAGTAGTGATGATGATTATACAGCAGCAGAATATACCCGCCTTTTAAAGTCATGCAAGTGACTCTGATGGGAATATTTGCTATAAATGGTACACAGAGGGATTCCTCGTTGATATTCTAAAGGGAAAGTGTATAAAGGGAACAGAGTGGCTGATATACTCCTAAGTAGGGGAGTTATGTCGGAAGATAAGGAGTCCTCCTTTTGGATTTAACCAATGTTTGATTGCGGGGATACAATTCACTTTATCCTGTTTCAATCTTCAACATTGAACAGTTTGACTGATGTACAACACCAAATCGTGGCGTATACCATGAGAGGCAATCGGTCATTCTTTAATACGAGTAATCAGAAATTAGAATGCTCTCACATGTAACCCCTTTGCCAGCCCTAATACATCAATGTCTTCAACACATTTATAGACTCTTACGTGTGAGAGTGTGACGCACTAGCAGCATCACATGGGGGAAGCAGCTATCTGTTCTGAAAGCAATGAAGTGGGCAATCCAGTGAGACGTCCACATGCCACGTCATGAGCATGATGCACCTTCAGGATTTGAGCAGTCGCCCACTAGCTGCTCCCATGCAGCTTAGCTGTGCTTGGATACACGTTTACACCACCACATCCACCCTGTTCTCTGGTGAGAGCCCATGAACAAAGAGCGAAAGTGACAGAATCAGGTACTAGAAAACTCACATCTAATTTCTTGTCTTGCTGGTACACAGCTGTGATTCCCAGTAAGACAGTCAGTTTGCGGACCAGTCCTGGGCATCCCGCTGTCCGCAAACTGTCCGCTCTCTCATCATCTTTTTAAAAACATTCTTTATCGCTGGATTCGTCTGACACTGAATTAGTCTGAATTCGACTCTCTTCATTAATAGCCACTGGTGATCCAGGAAAGGGGAATAGGTGCTGTGGAAACTTACATCAACCTTCATTTCCCAGTGTACTAGCTCCAATTTCCCATTGGTGACAGGTCAAAGGTGCAATTGGGTTTTATTTAGCGAACTGTTTGCTGTATCCTCTTGCAGTGCCCAATATGGAAGCTACTGCCGTGCATTTGCACCATAACCTTTTGCAAAATAGTTGGGATTGGTTGGGAAATGGTTTTACCTGTGCTAGGTCGTAGCTACCTGGGTTTCCGTGCAGTGAGTGAGTGGAAGCTGCTATAACCATCCCATATTTAGCATGCAGCAGTTCTGAGGACACGCTGTGCTTTTCTGTCAGCATGTGAGCTGTGGAGGGTGATATACAATCCCTGTCTCTCCCCATCTCCTGCATTATTGATAAGTGTGCTGAAACCCTCTCCACACGAGGTCCTCTGCCTCACCGTGATGCCCTCTGCCTGGGACGTCTTAATGCAAAAGCCTCTCAAGCACCCTCATGTCGAGGACCCAGACCTGGCTTCAAATTGCCACTTGCGAAGCACCGAATTGGCATTAAACAAAGCTGATTGCTCATTTGTGGTCCACACTGAGATTTGCCTAGAAATGGCAAAAAACAAGAAGCTTTCCTGGCGGTGGAGGTGTGCGTGTGTCTGTAGCCTAAGTGACCTCTACACTGGCCCCTGATGCAAGGCAACTCTAGTCAATACCAGTTCACTTTGATTTAAGACAAGGCTATGAGGCATACTTCTCTACCAATATCCTACATCAAATTTCATAATGTCCTTTTCTCTCAGTCACATTTCCAGTGCGTGTGTGGGAGTGTGGAAAGCCTGAACACAAGTCCCAGGGGTCCTAGCAAGCGTGGTTGAGAGGGATGACATGCCAGGCATGGCTGCAGATTCTTCCTCATTAAGAAATGTCTGTGTGGCCATAGGGACCGGCAGGGTAGAGCAGAAATACTGTGTCATCGGGTCGGCTGCAGATACAACAGGTGCAGGTGGTTCAATGAGAACAGGCTCCATGCGTCATTTGAACTCTGCGTTGTTTGTCTTTGTGTTATCCATGCATATCATGAGTAAAGACACGGATTACAGATGGCGTGTTTTCGTAAAGGTTGACAAAAAGAGTTGCAAAAAAGCTTTCTATCTTATCACCGGTCACTACTCAGTTCTAAATCTATAGCTGTTGAGGCTCTGATTGAAGAACCTAATCTTTTAAAGATGGACCCATTATTTGCCAACCGGATTATAATAAATTGTATGTGAACGGTACATTTGAAACTAAGATGTTTTTTCGAGAAGGAAAAAAGAGTCTAAATAATCCCTTTAACTGAAGGATGGGAATTTGGTAAGATTTATTTTTAAGCAACTTTTTTTTATTCAAACAACCGTCCTCACTGGTCTTGAATTAGATGAAGCAAAATGAAAAGCACGATAAATGTGCCAGAACACAAAAAGAAAAACTGAAATGTATTAGATTCAAGGCTTGAACTAGAAAGAAACTCATTCATTAGACACAAAGGCAAAAGGCTTGCAAATAGGCAACAAGGCCATGACACAAACTTGTGTTTCAACGCCCGGTTGGTTCAAGATTACCTGCAAGATTACCATTTTATTATTATTATTTAAATGACTGCAAATAATCAATGTTTGCTCAATACGTAACAGTGGTTTAAAGGTTTGAATCAAACTTTTTCCAGTGACTCAACAGACTACGAATCCTAAATTGATTAACTTAATGGAGGCCTTCCGAAGATCACATTAAAACCACATTACTCATTTTCTTCTTTCCCTACAGCTATTCTCAACCCCAAAGCCCCGAAGGAACCAGCAAAGACCTTTAGTTTTGATTACTCCTACTGGTCACACACTACGGTGAGTTTGTGCGTAGTTTAGTGTTGCGTCCGGTTGGAAACAACATTTTTAAAAACTAAATATAAAGGTGTATGTATATTTATGTTGAAATACTCTGTCTTTCCCACAGCCGGAAGATCCCTGCTTTGCGTCACAGAACCTTGTGTTCAATGACATTGGCAAGGAGATGCTGGCACATGCGTTCGAGGGCTACAATGTCTGCATCTTTGCTTACGGCCAGACGGGATCTGGCAAATCCTACACCATGATGGGCAAGCAGGAGGAGGGGCAGGAAGGAATCATCCCCATGGTTTGTTCTACAATGCCTCTTTCTGATTTTAGTGATGGGACTTTGCCCACTGTCCACCACAGAAATGCAAACCGGGTGCTTTACATTTCTGCTTTCTTTGTTTCTGAATATCTTTCCCTGCTCATCATCCCTCTTATACTTCAAGCCAACTGTTTCTCACATTGTAACATCCAACTTTGATTCATTCCAACAATAATTCTATAATGTACTGTAAGGATTTGAAGTTTCACATGCTGATTCTCTCCCTCTCTTTTCTAATGTTTAGTTACTAAATGTGGTTTCCTTGACATAACAAATAAGTTGTTAGTATTTGTTTCTATTCATCCTTTCTTTCACCTCCCGACATGCTGTTAATTTTCTTCTTTCTCTGCCGCTCAGCTCTGTGAAGATCTGTTTGAGAAAATCGATGACGTCAGCAACAAAGAGGAGCTCTCCTACTCCGTGGAGGTGAGTCTCAGTATGGTTTTTCATCTGCAACCCCTGTTTTCAGCCTCTGCCTTGTCACTTGACTCTAATAAACCATTGCTAGCCTTCTCAGTGTATCTGGTCATGGTCAGAAATCCCTTCAATGCTAGGATCCTTTAGCACATTGCTTAATAAGATTTAGTTGAATTGTACTCCTTCTTAAAAGTGTACAACTGTGAGATGTCTCGCAACAGTAAATTATCATGATGTTGATGAACAAGTAGACCATCAGAATGTTGTGAGGATGTAAATTGTACCTACATTATTTGCAGTATAAAACTTGACATGCCGCTTAATTTGACTGACTTTAGGTGCTGCCGTGCATTATGACATCTTAACTATCAATACTTTTGACTCTTTCTAGGTCAGTTACATGGAGATCTACTGTGAACGAGTGCGAGATTTGCTAAATCCTAAGAACAAAGGGAACTTACGAGTGCGAGAACATCCGCTACTGGGTCCCTACGTAGAAGACCTGTCCAAGCTGGCTGTCACATCCTACACAGACATTGCTGACCTAATGGATGCCGGCAACAAGGCTAGGTGAGCCAAGCCCTGGGACCATGGGAGGGCGGGTGATGTGCTCTGATGATGCCCCAAAGAAGTATTTAATTGAGGCTGCAAATTGTTGGCAAGATAACGATAAGTTGGAACCACGAAATGTTCTTATAATATTGAAATATCGATGGCTTGATGAGTCAGCGTCTAGGAACAGCCAAACGCTAAAGTTCAGAATGTGTGCGTGTGCCGGGCTCCTGTGGGGAGGAGTGAACCCTGCCTTAATCTTCCTGTGCCGACTCGGAGGGCTTATTTCTGGAACATGGCGTGAAAAGTCCGTACCTCCCCTGTGACTGTCCCTCTGACTGTCTTTGGTGTATTCTCCTCCGCCATACCTCCATAATGCTTTAGACTCAATTCACCCTAAAAATGGGTAACACTGAGGGATGACAGCTCCTTTTAATATCCAAGATCATGAATTTTGCTATTAAAAAAGAAAAACGTTGCATCCAGGTTGTTGTTTTTTTCATTTTCTCACAATAACCCGATGTGCTCACCTACAGAACTGTGGCTGCCACCAACATGAATGAGACCAGCAGTAGGTCCCATGCTGTTTTTACCATCGTCTTCACACAGAAGAAACATGACAGCGAGACCGACATCTCCACGGAAAAGGTCAGACGAGATTTGAGAGACTGATATCAACTTTTCATGACTAACTTGTTTAACTCTGATACAGTGCTGAATGCAGTACGTGTTTCTATACTAGTGTTCAGGCCATTTATTTAGTTTGCTCCTTATGATTTCAGCTAAGATGTCTCCTATGGCCCCTCAGTTGGTGTTGATCGCCATTTTAGGACTTGTAGCATTTCCTCTGACAGACAAAGACCACTGTGTTGTTCTAAACACAATGCCCATTGTGTTTAGACACCACCAGATTTGAATGCCTGGTTGCGTCACACTTGATGGTAATGTTTGCATAATTAGAATGATACAAAAAATATATTTTGACTACATAATAAACTTTTATATTGTAGTCTGTTCTGTTATTTTTTTTTCCAGGAATATTCTCATCCCCGCTCTGTTTCTTAACATTCTAATGTATATTATTCATAAGCTTGATGCATCTAAAATATATTTGCTCCCTATTCAGGTCAGCAAAATCAGTCTGGTAGACTTGGCAGGGAGTGAACGAGCAGATTCCACTGGAGCTACAGGCACCAGGCTAAAGGTAAGACTCCTACTGTCACAGACAGCATTAGCAAGCAGTTGACCAGCATTACCTTGATGCCTCCTTAATAACAAACATCTATGGTTGCAGGAAGGAGCAAACATCAACAAATCTCTCACCACGTTAGGAAAGGTTATCTCTGCCTTGGCTGAAGTGGTGAGTGTTTTATCTCTTTCTTCCTGTCGGTTTGCTGCTTTTTCTCCTTTTCAGACTTTTCTCTTACCCTCGAAAACGTGTCCCTGTCCTCTCAAGGAATGCATGTTTTTAGTCTCATATGCTGTAATGTCTGCCATTTTCTTTCTCTTTCTCTTGTTCTAATGCTTGCAGACTCAGGATAACTGTACAAGCAAGGTAAACCCTTTTAACAGCTCAACCACTAACCTCTTGAATCCCCTCATGAGGCAAATGTGACATCCTCTTCCTGTGTGCTGAAGCTGTAGCTAAATGCTTTGTCGCCATCATTTTCTTATTGTTATGATCTTAGTCTTGTCAAAAGCTGTGCTTTTAGCCCTCACAAGCAGTACAACCTACATTCCTTGCAGCAGAGCAAAAGCTAAACCAATCAGGGTTCTGTTCATTTCACTCGACCTCTTCTCTCTAACACATGAGGTGTTTGTCATGGTGCATCGTAATACGGTCTTAATGGCCAAGACTAATTTTCAGTTTTAAAACGGACATCTTGCATTACTTTTATTTTTCCTTACTCGCTTCATTTATGTCTCCTGCAGAGCAAGAAGAAGAAGAAGACTGACTTCATCCCGTACAGAGACTCTGTTCTGACATGGCTGCTAAGGGAGAACCTAGGTATCAACATTAATATCTCCTGCTTAATATCTTTTACCGGTGGAATTTAGATCAATAGACTGTGCTGCAAAATCCTTATTCCTGGACAGCAAATAAAATGTAACCATCTGTGTCCTGTAAGATGAGGGGGGAAAAACACAAGCTAGTGTACATTACTCTCTGCCAATTTAAGAAGAACACTGTCAGCAGACTGTAATTCAAGCTAACTAGCTAACAAGCACCTCCATCAGCACTCTGTTAAGTGTACCTTTAATCTTAGCATACATGACCCAAGTAGTACTTTGCAGCTTAGTCTTAAGCACACCACATTTTTGTATTCATGAAATTAGTATCCATCTAATTTTTCCTGATGTTTTTGTCCATGCCGCACACTGCAGTGGAAATCATCGTGTGGTGCTTTAAAAAAATGAATCTAATACTAGTATATCTTGTCTTGGTCTAGAGACTGTGTTTGGAAAGTGGCCTTTTACCCACATTGTTGCATAGTTAACTTCTTTACTGATATCAGGTGGAAACTCGAGAACAGCCATGGTAGCCGCCCTCAGTCCTGCAGATATCAACTATGATGAAACTCTCAGCACGCTCCGGTAAGGTTCCAATCTAGGACCTAAATAATAATAGGAATTCCAGTTAATTGTATAATTATTTTTGCATTTAATTGTTTATTATATATTAAGTTTATCACTATTCAAATTTATAGCTATGCTGACCGAGCAAAGAACATCAAATGCAATGCTGTCATCAATGAGGATCCCAACAACAAGCTGGTGCGCGACCTGAAGGATGAAGTGGCTAGATTGAAGGAGCTTCTCCGTGCTCAGGGCCTGGGAGACATCCTAGACAGTGAGTTTAACGCTATCCCCACTGGCCTTACTTGCAGCCACACCGCTTCTACCCCCCCCCCCCCCCGGGGTCTGCCACACGCTGGTGACATGTTCTTTCTACTTTACTGTCTCGTTTCTTTCAATCATCCAACTTTGTCTTCATCACTGTGCCTGAATTCCTGCCTAGTACATGACTAAAAGCACTTATAACAGCTTTTAAAACTTGCCATGAGACCACATTGGATTATTATGCCTCCTTGCTATAAAGTAGATTTGATCATGCTAAATGACATGGCACTTAACTAGTCATCCTACGCCATTACCGCTCATCTAGCTCACTAAGAAATGTCTGTAACCTCTTCGTCCCCATCTACTTGTGTTGACCTCTGACCCTTCTCATCTTTTCCTGCTTCCTCTCAGTTGATCCTATGGGAGATGATTGCCCAGGAAGTGGAATAAAATGTGTGTATATGTGTGGTAGTCATGACTTGTCCACCTTATTAATACTAGCTAATGTTGCTTATCCCCCTATTAACTGCATATCTAATCCGCTACCAGCTTTGCATGTAAATGCTAAAAGAGCAAAAGCCTGATCGAAGCAGACTCAGAAAGGCCGGGCTTCTGTAGATGTGCTCATCTGGCGAGGGCTAGCATGCCACTAGCTTAGCATGCGCTGTGCGCCAATGGTGGCGCCCAAGCAGCTTTTCACTGGCTCCAATCCAACTATATCGCAGCTTACTTTTAGAAACTTTTTAGGATAGCTCGTCTGTCTTGTCCACCCTGCAGGCGCCCACACCATTTCATTACCATATCTGTCTTTGATTCACTTTCTGAAAGCTCTTTTGTGTGATCTTTCTGCTTTCTTGCTTACCAACCGTCCGCTGCAGGTGACAACGCTCAGCTTTTTAGAATTGCTATTCTCAGTTCGCAAACTGAGGCTCAGAGCTACAGATGGGAAGGTGCATGATTTAAAATTTTCTATGTAGCAGAGTGGAACTCTATGTGTATAGTTGACTAGCACGATGTGTTATGATTCATTTTTATTAGTAATAGTTAGTTTGCTAGTGTGCTGTATTCTCAGACATCCCTAATAACATCCCTTCCCTTTTAAAGCTGATAATGCTAATGTTTTTACCAGACTTCCTGAGCAAAAGCAGGCTTTCACTTTTCCACGTGTGCAGAATAAGAACATACATGTTGTTGCTAGTTGTGTAGCTCAGTATACATCCCTATTTTTCTTGAAGAGGAAAAGCCTATATTGCCAGTGTCAACTCAAATGTCAGCACCACCCAAACCATCAAAACTTAGTTAGTTGAATTAAGCTCCGGAAGGCCCAGTCTGTAGTCCTTGAGAGGTCCTAGGCCATTATATCAGCCGAGTAATCTTGGCTCTACTATGGTGGATTTGTGAGTGCACGTTGAAACCAACTTCTCAACTGCAGGCTGAACTTGTATGCATTTGTCTGTCTCCTCTCTAGATCCTCTTAAAGTCTCCCATCCTGTAATAGATACACTGATAGCAGTTTTCATTAAGTGTGTTCTTATGCAAAACAAAGGGACATCATCCTGTCACTCAAAATTGTACGGTCTAGATATTAAGTGCACAGAGTTCATTGCACTCTAATTCTTGCCAACATAAAAAAAAGCCTTCTGGAATCTCTTAAGTGAATAAAACCAATAATTGCAAATGTATTTGCTCTGGGAGTTGAAGAAATGTTACAAGCAGACTGTTGCAAACCACCTGGATGAAAACTGCTTAGCTCTCTAGTTGACCATCATGCGTGGTGTTTGTCTTAATCCCTTGACGAAAAACGTGTGTCTTACATTGGTCTTCCCCTCCCCTTTGTCTTCTCTCTCCCCATCTTTTTCTCTCTTATTTGGCACCTCCATTTTATGTATTTAATCCCCCTATCCCATTACTACCCTACCCTGGGCCTATTCTGCCTCTCTCTCTCTCTCTCTCTCTCTCTCTCTCTCTCCTGCTGTTGGCTCAGACCTCAAAGACATTCAGAACAATAAGAATAGATACTTGATAGCCTCAGAGAACCAACGCCCTGGCCATTTCTCCACAGCCCCCATTGGTTCCCTGACAGCCTCACCATCGTCTGGCTCACTGTGTAACCAAGGGGGCCTTCAGTCGGTCACCAGCATCCAGGAGCGCATCATGTCCACCCCTGGAGGAGAGGAGGCCATTGAAAGACTCAAGGTAAATCTGGCCTGTATATAAGGGAGCAGTCAAATCACACCTACGTTTTGTTTTTAACAAAGAAGGGGTCCACGGCTATCTCCCGCCAGGCTACTTAGAACTCCTCATCTCTGCATTTATCAATATCTCAGTTATTGAATATGATATAGAAAATATTCACCAAACATGATTAAAACACACTCGTAATTATTGATACAAAGATGCCTCAGTAGAATGAGTCCTGTAGAATTTACACGTCCACAGTAAATATCTGTTAATTGGTGAACTTCAAACTAATTTACAATAACACCTTCACATTGTAATATTTGAGTAAATTACATGTTGGTGTGATAATGTCAACATGGCTGTGGTTTAGTTTTAGCCCACACATGGCCTTTATTTACCATGTTAGCCTGTGAGTCTTCTCTCACGCTCGCAGTAGACCTCTCACTCATTTGATAAGGGAGCATAAGAATTTAAACAAGCAACCAAGAGGAGCTGCAGTTTCCATGGCAACCACAGTGCCCAGTCTTGTCTGTCATCCAATGACGTCAAGCACCAACGCAGATAAGGATGATATTCGACTAAAATAGATCCAGCTTTATGGGCTTTTAAAAGCCAAACGCTCATTAATGAGGCACATAGTATTCACATTCTTTGATCCTCAAAAGTATCCAATAAAAGTCGTCATCATTGTCAGTATTTCCCAATACAGCAATTCATTATGAACCTAAACAAAGATCTGGTATAATAGAAGAACTCTATTGAAACCACTGTTGTTTTTGTTATACTTACCTCTTGTGTTCAGGAATCAGAAAAGATAATTGCCGAGCTCAATGAAACCTGGGAAGAGAAACTGCGAAAGACGGAGGCCATTCGCATGGAGAGGTCGGTACTGGATTTCCCACCTGTATCTCTCAAGAGGAGAGATGTGTGTGTGTGTTTGTGTTACACGTGTCATCCACCCGTCTTTCAATTCGGCTGTGTCCTGTCAGTGCTACACCCCCCCACCCAATAGCTTTGTCTGTCTTTTCACCCTGTGGTATGTCTCTTCTTTCACCTATCGCTCTCATTTCCTCTGCACTCATTCTGTCTTTTTCCCTTCCCTTCTCTGCTCTCACACTCCGCTGCACAAACACCCCGCTCACACTCTTGTCTTCCCTTTTATCCACTCATCCGTGGCCGCCGACATCAACCATGTCTGTCCGTTGATGGTGCCACTCTCTGCCTGTTGCCATTCCACAGATCACTTACTGTTGCACACCATCACTTCTCTTCTTTGTTATAAAGCAGAGGCTCTTTAAATAGATCTGAAGAGTATGGGCTTCTCTCTATGTTCTCTGTTCATTCCTGAGCCTACAAATGTTTTTCCTTCACTAGGGAGGCCTTGCTTGCAGAGATGGGTGTGGCAATCCGTGAAGATGGAGGAACTTTGGGGGTCTTTTCTCCTAAAAAGGTACAAAAGACATGATCACCAAGGACAGACGTTGATGGAGAATTTGCTCATCATCACCTCCTCACTTCTGTTCCCCTTTGATTTATCTCATGTGCTCATTTCATCATTCTGTCTGTCTTTCCACGCTGTTACTCTCTTCTTTCACATAATCAGCTTAGCCATACAAGCCCATTTGATGACCAGCTTGAAACCAAGAAGGTTTGTTAAATTGAATTGGAAAACAAAGAGCCTTCCCTCCAGCAGATCAAGTAGTGATTTTCAACATAAATGTGCTTATTTCTGTAGGCAGAATTCCCCCATAATTTTGCACATGTTTACACAGACCAGTTGAATAATGGATTGTCTTTGAATATGGCCCTTGCTTTTGAGTAGATTGTTAAAACGCTTCCCTTAGAACTCAGTGCATTCCCTTCACTCTCTGCACGTCTTCAGCACCTTCTAGTAGATAATGTGCTGTGTGGCCGCAACATAGAGGCCGGCTGACTTGTCTGTACAGGCTTCTGAAAAGAGGCTCGCTAGTGATGGGAAGATTACAAAGTCGTCACTAGATCATACATTCCATCTTTTAGGATGTTTAGATCACCCCTCCTCTACTGCTGATTATGCTGGTGTGTTTTTTAGGTTTTCCTTCCTCCATTCATTCATTTTTTTTTCTTTCTCCTTTCACTCACTGCCGCTCAATGGTTTAGCATTTCGCTGAGAAGCCTTGTGATCTATATGCAGACTTTAACGGGGTGTTTTCCCCCAAAAAGGTTGGTGGTTTGACGGCGTAGCTGCTAGTAGCTGTAGTGATGCTGTGATTCATCTAGACTCTAGAGGTGTCGGCACTGTGTCAATGAAACCAGTTCTGGCTGTTTGGGTTCATGTACTGCTAACCACGCATCACTGAGAGGTCATCAGCGATGACACTATGCCAATTGCTCACTTGATTCAAGTTCTATTATTGACATGTACTTGATGCAAGTAGAAACCCTATAAATGTTTTAGCAGCAAACTGTTGACCTTTTATGTTTCACCTGTAGACTCCACACCTGGTTAACCTGAATGAGGATCCGCTCATGTCAGAGTGTCTGCTCTACTACATCAAAGACGGAATTACAAGGTAACCGAAACCTGAATGATGACACTGAAATGCTTCAGAGGATATGTAAAGGTTCTGAATTTCTTCCAGACAGTATCTCGGTAGCGTCTGAACAGCTACGCTGAACGCTTTTCTTTCTTAACATCAAAAGATGGAAAATGAAATTCAGAGTCACAGAAAGCTTTAAATGACAAAAGGTTGGCTGTCTAAAGTTACGTTCTTGCCCAGTTTCCTTTTTGCCCACTCTGTAGTATACCCATGTTGAGTATTTGGCCTCCAGGGAACAATAATAGCTGACGAAAGAACGTATAGTGCTTGAGAAGTGGTGTCTTCCAAAAGTATGGCTTAAAGATTTCATCCAACTTCTGCCTGTGACTTTTTGACAAAATGGCCGCTGATGGTCACTCTCTCAAAATGGCCTCTCTGAATTTTTCAGGGTGGGTCAGGCTGATGCTGAAAGACGACAAGACATCGTTTTAAGCGGTGCTCATATCAGGGAAGAACACTGCATCTTCCGCAGCGAGAGGAATGCCAATGGAAATGGTGAGGCACCATAATAAGTTTCCCTTCTTCCGTTTGCCTTCGCTTACGTCTATTCGAGTACTGGGATTGTTTTTTGAATTAAGCGTAGTTGATAGAACCCTTTCGTGCTCTTATTTAAAGAAAGATACGTGTAACCCCTAATTGCCTACAAAGTACAAATGTGCGACCCAAGGCTCACCAGATGGGACAATAGACGACATTGTGCAAAAATATAGACTCAAGATCGATCTTCCGCTTCTAATGAAAACACAATGCCCTAAATGTCAGTAATCACTTCGAACTCTGCATTTACCATTTTAATATTAGCTTTTGATACTCTTCGAATGAGTCTCTGATCAATGGGTGGGGTGTTTTTGTGAAGTTATCGTCATGCTGGTGCCCTGCGAGGGATCAGAAACCTACGTCAACGGCAAACGCGTCGAGGATTCTATCCAGCTTCGTTCAGGTATGTATCTCAAATTTGCTAGTAAAGTTGTAGATAATCTGTAAAAGCTTTATTTGTATTCTATCTTTAGATGATAAAGGCACGTAATGGTATTTTTCTCGGCCTTCATAAATAGTAGTTGCAATGCGGCTTGTGGTGCTCTAACTTAAATGAGAAAATAACAAAAACAACAGTTTGATATCTCTGTTGTGTCATCACTCAAAGCTCGATATCCTATGATGATACTCTCAACGCTTATGGCTGCCCCACCTTTCAGGTAACCGCATCATTATGGGAAAGAACCACGTGTTCCGGTTCAACCATCCAGAACAGGCCCGAGCTGAAAGGGAGAAAACGCCAACTGCTGAAACCCCGGTGGAGCCGGTGGATTGGACCTTCGCTCAGAGGGAGCTTCTGGAGAAGCAGGGCATCGACATGAAGCAGGAGATGGAGAAAAGGTACGCAACCCATCCTGTTTTCTATATTCAAACAAGCTTCTGCCAACGGCGGCAGTGTGATTGGTCGTGTCTTGCACAGTATATCACAAATTGTATCATGTATTTCACAATAGATTTTGCTCATTTATTTAGGCTCACTGAGATGGAAATCTTGTACAAAAAGGAGAAGGAGGAAGCAGACCAACTTCTGGAGCAGCAGCGACTGGTAAGTACAAATAATCTGGATATTATTCCAACCTACTTTTTAAATTCTATGGATTCAATTTGTTTTGCGTAACCACCGTGTTAGAAGTTGTAGACACGTTATAATAAACGGCACAGTGGGTTTAATAGATTTTAAGCCATCATTTATGCCCTTTGCAAGTTAAGTTGTGACTAAAAGTAGCACATTGAGTGCTTTGGCTTATTTGTGTCATTTTGTGAGTGACTTGGATTTAATATTCACAAGTGGAACTCAAAGTTAAAGCATGGTTTTTCTATAGTCAAGTACAAATGGATGATAGTTTCACTTGGCCCATTTGTGTCCCTCTAGTACTAATTCTCACTCTGAGCTCTCACACTTTTGAGTTTGTGTGTGTGTGTGTAAGAGAATCACACATTTCCTAGCGCATGTCTGTTCTTCTTGCATGGAAGGTTTTCTGGTTTGAGACGGATGATTTTTTTTGCCTTCCTCTTGAGTTTAACTGTTTTATTTTGTAGCAATTCGATCAAGTGGGGATTAGATTGTGAAGCTTTCTCCTCTCCAAATCCCTGTTTTCCCTGTTCTGTTTTCTGTAGTGCATCTGAATCTTGCAAAACAGCAATTTACAGCTGAAGTCGATTTAATATTAAGATCCACATTCATTTAAAATGAATTGATTATTGGTCGGCATTGCGTTGCCTTGATTTTTACCAAGTCCTGTTGCTTTTGCATGGTTCATGTTAATAGCATGTTTTATTAACTCCTTCTGTACTGGATTTGGACTAAGTTGCAGTGTTTGGTGTTGAGCGGCTTTGAAGTAGCTGTTGATTTGCTTGGATTAGATTTCTACTCTAGATTTCTTGCTCTGTTTAAAGTTTAATCTCTTCAATGCAGTTGTTGACATGTACAATGCATTGTGATAACAACAATTCCTGCTGTAGTTCTTTGACAGTTAGTGACAATGTGGTTTCTCATTGACTTCTTTGGTTACTTTGCTAGCCTTACCTGGTATCTATGCAGACGGCTAAGAGCACAACTCAACAACAAGTTATTCAACTGCAAGAGTTATTACAGCTTACAGTTGAATTATCGAGACGTCTTCCAAACTCCGGTGGTTTTATGTATTGAGCTACAGGTATATTGGGCTTCAGACTCCCAGGAACATAATAAGTCCAATTCTAGCCATGGATCCTGTATCCTACACAAGACCCGATTATCTGTACCAAATGGTTGTGATCTGTAATGTACTTTGTCAACAAAAATGAGAAACTGCATTCTTCTTCCAACTAACGCCTTTCTTGTAGTGGATTAACACTTACCCTCACTGCTGCCTCTCCTCTCTCTACTGGCTTTCTGATCAGCTGCAAGAAAACTCTTGTCTTCTAACTCACTGCTAATGCTAAAGCCTCTGAAACCTTCTGGACCAAAGGGAGAAAGCTCCAAACTGCATCTACATGCATGCCACTGTAGCATGTTTGGGATCTGGCTTTCAAATCACGACATGTTCTTTTTGAGAAGAGGAGTATTACAAAACAATACAAAAGCGCTCCAATCAGCAACTGTTCTCTATTCATATTTCTTTTCTAATCATTCTAGACATGCTTTACCTTTACTTTATCTATATCAATGTGCAACATTGGGAACACTATTGTTAAAGTTGATCTCCCTTTTTGTGCGATGTAGACAACCTACTCTTTACAACAATCAATGTTGAATTAAATTATTCATATTATTATAATAATTTTACAAGAAAAAACATGACTGGAAAAAATCACCAGCAAAAAAGTCAATGAAACTCACTCAATTTTCAATTTTCCTATCTTTATTTTTGGATGGATGGATTCTGCATGTTGACATACATCTTTTACACTATGATGTATGCAAACCATTTAGATTAAATCAATTCAATAGGAATAGGAATATTATAGTAAATATTCTAAAATCTCTCAATTCTGAGCTGGAAAATTGTTATATATATGTTTTGATATGACTTCAACTTAACTCACAGTTGAAGTTCCCATGTTGCAGATTTATATGTTTTTTTTTTTTTCATTCTTAAAAAAACAAAAACATTCCTTCATCCTGTCTTTGATTTCCCATTTTAATTTCTCCCCCTTTTTTTTGGCGAACCCTTTGGTTTGTTTCCTGTGTCATTTTCTCAAGGATGGAGACTCTGATAGTGGGGATGACTCAGATAAGAGGTCTTGTGAGGAGAGCTGGAGACTGATCACTTCCTTGAGGGAAAAGCTGCCCCCCAGCAAGCTACAAACCATAGTGAAAAAGTGTGGATTGCCCAGCAGTGGGAAGATAAGAGAGCAAGTAAAAATGTACCAGGTCCCCCAGCGGCGTCGCATCACCAAGGACTCCAAGTGGGTGACCATCTCTGACCTGAAAATCCAGGCAGTTAAAGAAATTTGTTACGAAGTTGCGCTCAACGACTTCCGCCAAACGCGGCAGGAAATCGAGGCGCTGGCCATCGTGAAGATGAAGGAGCTTTGCGCAAGCTACAGCAAGAAGGACCCCAACGAGCGGGACTCGTGGAGGGCAGTGGCTCGGGACGTCTGGGACACCGTGGGCGTCGGCGACGAGCGCATCGAGGACGTTTTCACCAATGGGGCTCGAGCGGGAGGGGTGGTGATGGATGACCTAAAGGTGCACATCGATAAACTTGAAGACATCTTGCACGAGGTGAAGAAACAAAACAACATGAAAGACGAGGAGATCCGCGCTCTCAGAAACAAGATGGTCAAAATGGAAAAGGTGCTTCCGCTCATCACCCCAGAGAGCCAGGAAATGCCTCAGTTTGGCACTTCCACTTGCCCCCCCACAACTCAAAGCCCCCGTGAGGGAAAACCTCCTTTGCGCGATTATACCGATGGAGATGACGTTGATTTACAAACTGGCCAAAGCACGGGAGATGACTCCACACTAAAGCGAGGCCACATGCGCTGGATGCGTCAAGAGCAGTTGCGCCTCAAAAGCCTTCAGCAACAAGAGATCTCCAAGCAGCTCCGCAGGCAAACTGGACCACACCGCTTTATACCGCCCGAAGACCGAAAGCTACGCTTCCCTTTCAAAAGCAACCCCAAGCACCGCAATTCATGGAGCCCTGGAACTCATATCATAATAACAGATCAGCAGGTCATCGAGCTAAAGGTGCCCAAAGAAGCTGTAGAGGAACAAGAGGGAGAAAGCCAGGTTGGAGATGGACTTCAGTCTAGAGAACCTGTGGCTGCTTCGCTGATCCAAGTCACTCCCCCGTTGCCAAGCCCGTCGGTCCAGCGCAGGAGCAAGGACCCGGAGCAAGGTCCGAGCCAGGGTCACAGGCACGGCTACAGGAACCACCAGAACCAGCAGCCCCACGAACGAGGCCGCAGCCACTCCTTCAATAACCGCCAGCGGCCCTCGGGTTCCATGGAGTCCCTGCAGCAGTCTGAGAGCAACAGGAGGCACACTCAGGCCTTCTACCTGCCCCGCCACCACCAGGGCCAGCCAGCACATCCGCATCCGCAGCAGCACCATTACCATCACCATCAGCCCTACCATAATAACCCCGGGGTGTACACAGATGGCCGATTCAACGGATACCAGCAGTACCCTCCCGCTGACCACGCTAACTATCCCATCAGCTTTCAGGCTCCCCCGCGAATGCGCAGGCAAATGTCTGCACCCAATCTGAAAGCCAGTAGAGAGACGGCAGTCTGAGTGGGCAATCGGAGAATCAAGAACTAGTTTGATAAACTTCTAGTTGGCAAAAACATTACAGATCACAACAGCTCATAATCACGTGACTTTTGCACTGATGAGTGCGTTCTTGGTTGATCCGAAAGTATCGTGTGTATTATAAGAGGACATTCTATCATCATTATAATAGATGCCATTTCATCTGTTTTGCTGCATTGTGTGTGCGGTCTTTGCTGCATTGGGAGTCATAAGGAACTGAAGCCAACAGATAATAAAGGGACTTCTTTGCATCTGAAGAGATTTCATGCCTTCGCTGCACATTCTTCAGCACATGTGACAATTCATCAGTCCTGCCTTTATTTGCCCAAATTCTCCCCATAGTTCAATCATGATAGGTATGATTTATCATGAATGTTTTAGCCACTACAGTATACACTCATTACAGTGCTTATTTTCGTCAAGACTTTTGTTGATATTGTAGCCCAATTTAGGAACCTAGTCCCTATTTCTTTCTTTCTGTTTGACATGTAACTGAATCTTAATACCAAATAATCAGTTTTCTTTGCATTTATACATTTTGTGTTTAATCTCATAAATCAGTACTGGCCTTGATCTGGAATCAAATCAATGGTATGTTTTGTCATTTTGAAATTGAATAACTTGATGCACTAGTCAATAACATGACAGCCTTTTTAATTGACTGAAATGGACTTTTGGGAAAGTATTATCCAAAAGGTGCCTTTTTATACACTAACTACATTAATCCTGCTGTGCATATAACTGTTTATACCCCCCCGCCCCCCCTCCTCTTTTTAATTTAACACTCATGCAAAACTGGCAACCTTCATAACTTTACTTTTCCAAACTAACTTTTTGGTTATATCATTTATTCAAATTCTTAGTAGGCCACTTTTTTTTTTTCAAATATGCAACTGTGACATAATTGTATTTCAGTACTTTGCACCTCCTCAATCCATAGATAATTAGTTGATGACATTTTATATTTAAGAGTTTTTAATATTGTTCTCTCAGAATCCTGGAGTTTACTTAAGACCCAATCAAAAGTAAGAACCACTTAGTGGAAATGAAGGAGAATGATGTCATTATGAAGGAAAGTATCCACAAAATTCTAACTATTTGACAGTTCCACTTTACCCAGTACACAAAGTTCAAAATCCTTTTCTGTCCCTCCTGTATAAAGAGACGGAAAGCTGAGCTCTGATTTCCGTGTCACGTGGTCTTCTGATAACATTCTAGGTTTGTGCTTCACTGAGTAAGCACAGAGGGCTCTGTGTTATGATTGGATGTTGTCCATAGTGTTGTCATGGCTGCATCAGAGTTGCCTTACAAATGTTGGAAAGCTGACAGACTTGAAGCATTTGCATAATGTTTTGTGAGGGGAATTATCCAAATTTGATTTTAAGACTGCCTTGTTTTAGCTGCATCAATGCGGCCTACTCATGAAACCCGGGTGGTCAATCACGATCATCCTTTGCCTCCGTGATGTCGCTGACGCTTACTTGAACAAGCATATTGTTCGCTTGTCGATTTTGCCTTTTTCTTTTTAATGCATTTCTTCTGCTTTTAAAGAACCCGTTAGTTGTAACAGTTATCTTCCAACCGTGACACTCTGCACCATGGAAGAGACCATTGAAGATTTTAGAAATGTTCAACTTTTTCTGTGTTTTCTACTACTAGTCTATATTCTATCAAACTATGCTGTTACAAAAACCAAATGATACAACAACGTATGCAATCCCCGACCTCCATGTCTTTGACTATCTGTGCATGCGATAGCCTACATTCATCCCTCATAAATGCTCCATTTAAAGAATTTTATTTAACATATGCAGTGGTGCTGATGGCGGCCAGGTAAGCTGGTAAAGGGTATACAACATCAAATGAACCGTGTACTGTTCTCATGAACTATGTCTGTGTCAGTGCTCAACTAAAAGTGTTCGTGTATGTGTATGAGTGTTGTACACCTGCTTTTCGAATCCACAATATCAAGTGCCTCATAGCGTCTGTGTACCAAGTTGTTAATCCCTATCAAGCATGTTGTACAACACATGCGGTGCATACGTGAATGAGGCAACGATGTACTGAATCCCTGTGTTGCTGGAGGATTTGAAAATATGACTGAAATAAAATGACATGCGATGCGAAAAGTACACTTATTTGTTACTTATGGTCGGGATTTTTTTACTGTCAAATGACCAGTTTAGGAGCAGAATGAGATCCGTGCAAGTTCTATACAGCAGGATTCTTGTGGGACACTTTAGGAAACATCCTGCGTGAGGTTAAAGGCTTTGTTAAACCTTTTATATTATTGTACAGTTTACATTTTTAAGATTTCAAGTTCAGGATTCTCAATGATTATCTACAGACTTGTACCGCTATACTGTGCAAAAAGAAACACTGCTGTTATAATTGAACGCTTGTACACCTTCAGCATGAGACAGTGAGGAAAGTTGGCTTTTACCTAATTCCATTATCATGATTTTGGAATTGCATTTAACCTTTTCCACCCTGTAACGTATTTGGGAATTTTAACATTATGTTTTTAAAAGGTTAATTCTTTATTCACATGGTGTATTAATGGTACACATTGTACGTTACACATACAGGAATTTATTATGGTTATTGGTGCAGTATTATGGGACAAATACAAAAAAACAGCAGCTTTCTGCAGATCACTACATTTCAGTAAAACATTTTGGATTTCCAGTTGATTTTGAATAAAGGAAATTCAGTTTTCAGCCGGAAGGAGGTTAATGACAAACGAAAAGAAACATTTCTGCTTCCCAGAAGACAATGAACAAGCAGGAAGAGGTCACCAGGACCAAAGCCCGTCCTGCACTGATGACGTTGCCGTCCCTCATTGGATTACAGTTGACTCGGCTTCCACCAGCAGCACCAATCCTCTTCCATCCACTCAGGCTTTTTCTCCCAGTCTCTCATCAAGTTATATTTCCAGAGCGTTGAGTTTAAATTTTAGATGAGTGTTTTCAAAAGTCGAAAGCTTTTCATACTTTACATTGATTGATTTGAATTGGGGTACCCAAACTTTGCGTCAAAATTACAATATCCTTTTGTAATTATTTGGCTTTTTTTTACTGAAATAAATGTTTTCTTTAGATATTTTGTTATGGAGTATGTTGTATGCTGTGGAACATTTTGGCATTTCATGTCTCATTGCTTTGTTTACACATCGGGCCTCATGTGCATCATGCATCATTTGGACCAGTAACCAAAGGTTTTGGTACTTTTAATGAATAAATGAGTAAATAGGTCTCTGGTCGGATTGGCTGTCGAAGTGAAGAATGTGCAGTAGTTCTGACATAATGGTTTGTATTTTGGCCAGCTCCTTTCACTGGTTGTTATAGCTGATGGACACTTGTCCATGTTCTCTGTCTCTGTCCCTGTGTGTTGGTGTCCAGGTGTACGAGAGCAAATTGCAGGAACTTCAAAAACAGGTGGAAACTATTTCTCTGGTCGCTGAAACACCTGATGAAGAGGAGTTGGAAGAGGAGGAGGAAGAGGAAGGTGTGTACTGTGAATGTTCTGTCTTGCCGCTTATTTACTTGTTTAAACCAATAATATATAGTTTATACTTTTATACTTATCTTATGTAAAATATATAATGTAACAATGCACTGTATGCTTTTCTCACTGTCCAGAGCCTAAACTTCTGGGATGTGCGTATAATCTCTCCTGTTTCATAGATGAATGTACTTTTTCACTTCATTCAAATTCCAATTTGTTAATAGTGTCATACTAATTACCCATTTACGGTTTTGAATGAAACTAGTCCATAAGTATTTTCTAATTACTTTAAAGTGTAAAATACTACTAATGATTAAAACATTTCACTTTTATTAAGGACCACACTTATAGTCCTTCGTTTTTTGATGGGGGACAAATCTACATTTTTGTCTGTCTGACTTGATTTATTTCAACCTTTTTAAAAGCATAGAAAAAATGTACTTCAACGTTTAATACTGATATGATGTTAGGTCAAAATTAAACCAAGGGAATGCACCGGTTTATCCGGCTGAGATCAATACCCGGGTCTGGGGACGGGGTAAACATTTCTGTGTATTTGTTCTCATACATTCTAATCTCGGAGGGTCCCTGAACTCATCATAAGGGGAGGTTTTCAGCTCATACCCTGCTTGCAAGACAAATTGACTAAAAATACGTGATAAACAACCTGTAATTAAAAGCATTACTGTAAATGACTCTCTTTGTAGTAGATGTTGTGTGCGTGTGTGTCTGTATGCATGTTAACGTCACTTGTGTTGCGTCTTTCCCTGCAGTGCCGTGGACTCCGCACGAGTTTGAGTTGGCTCAGTGGGCTTTCAGGAAGTGGAGGTACCATCAGTTCACCTCCCTCCGTGACCAGCTGTGGGGGAACGCAGTCTACTTGAAAGAGGCCAATGCCATTAGTGTAGAGCTAAAGAAGAAAGTAAGCAAAGATTATGTTTTACTTTATCGTAGTTTTAGAATTGGTTAAAGCTCTGAGAATAAAAATATCATAAACTTTTGATTCACTAAACAATATAATTTGAAACCGCTTTATTCAAAGACTCGAAAACAAAACATAAAAATGTAAGTAAAAAAAACCCATTGCGACCTTTGACGGGGGAAATGTTAAAAGCTGAATGCATTTTGTTTTTACAAGATGATGTAAAATAGCGAGCGTAAGTATAGCTGTCTTCAAATGCTGTAGTTGCCTGGCAGCCACATTCACACAGGAGCATCAAGGCTCTGTGCTGTTTAACCCAGGAAGCTACATGAAGGTGCAATAATATAACACCAGTGATTTATTCATCTGGACACTCAATTGATAAAGTAATGTGTTTTTTGTGCTGAAGGCAATCCTTCATATCTCCCAGAGCGTGGAGTTGACCCCTTGTGACAGAGAGAAATGGGATTTGTTAAGAATCGATAGCTGGTCTGCGATGGAAAAACGTCTCCACTTGTCGACCAGTGTGATTTATATTTGCATCCACTTCCGGATCTTTAGACTTCTGTCTGTAACTTATGTCAACTGTTACCTTGGTAAATCTGCATTTAAATAAAACCCTGCCAGACAGGACAGTGAGCCCAGCATGTTTTAACTGACATCCAATCTTCAATAAACGGTCAGAGCTTTAGTTCAGGACGCTTCAAGTCATAATAGATGATTATGCCCATTCTTTCATTTGACTTGATGTTTTTTTTTCTTCCCTGTCCCTTCAGGTCCAGTTCCAGTTTGTCTTGGTGACAGACACTCTGTACTCTCCACTGCCCTCTGAGCTCTTGTGCCCAGAAGCAGACAAAGAGCAGGACTCCAGGCCTTTCCCTCGCACCGTGGTGGCCGTTGAAGTTCAGGACCTAAAGAATGGAGCCACGCACTACTGGTCCCTTGATAAACTCAAGTAATGCCAGCATCATACCAAAAGCTAGCCCTGGCTTTTAATATTTAAATGCTTTACCGGTGCTATTATGCACTGCTGCTTTTGCTCGTTGTTTGCTTTGCCTTCAGTACCACAAAGATTTTACAAAAAGAACAATGAATTGAATGAATGAGACATGTCTACATCCCTCCTTCCATCAGGTGTGCTGTATATTCTCTTTCTGCTTCGCATTAAAGTTAAGTGCTCTGTGCTCCATCGTCATTTGCAGGCAGAGGCTGGAGCAGATGAGAGAGATGTATGACCGAGCTGGAGAAATGGCCTCGACTAACCCGGAGGACGGCGAGGGCACTCTGACAGGAAATGACCCCTTCTATGATCGCTTCCATTGGTTTAAACTTGTGGGCAGGTACGTAACGCCACTGCAGAACAACGTTACCCATCGAACATGCTGTTTATTGTGCTGCTTCTTTTGGGTTTGATTTCTAGAAATATTCGTTTTCATTGCTGTACTTGTAAACGGGTTGATTCATTTCCTTCCGTTCAATTTTTCATTTCATTAAATTTTTCATTTAATTCTGTTTGGCAGAATTCTCTTTTTTTATTTTATTATTCATGTGTTTCATTGCTATCACATGTTTTGGAATTGTTTGTCTGTTATATTTTTTCACTCATCATTGATCTTTCATTGTATATGCTGTCATGTTTATAATTTGATGTTACATTTGTGTCTGTATTTGGTGATCTTAATTTTCTTTTTTTTTAAACTATTTTTGCATTTGCTCATTTTATTTGAAATCACATTAGGATTTTCTTTTTGTATCATTTCATGTGTCTGTTGCCATTTTCATGTTGTCTCCAGGTTCAAAAGCTTGTTAATGATGTAATGAATTTGGAAGTGGAATTTTCTAGCATTTAGTATTTTATCCTCTTTTGCCAGCATATGTACATATTAGATACATCTGTTAATCCTTTTAAAGTCAGTTTACTTCCTCTAACTTGCTGCGACACCTTGTAATACCAGCTCTTCAGATCATTCTGTAGCCTGTAGTATTTTTATTACTAGAATCACATCTTTACAAATCAATGTATGGCTATTGGTTGGTCTTTGATTACTTTACAAATGAAATGTTACTAAATGTTTTCTTTTTTTGATATAGTGCATTAAACACCATATTGTATTTGTTGTAGGAAACTACTACTACCAACATACCATTTATGACAGAACAATGTCAAAGTGAAATCTCCCGTCTTTAACATTTCTATTACTCCATTGTTACCTTTCCTTGGTTCTTGCCACTGTTCCCCAAACTGCCAACCCGCTCAGCTCCCCCATCTTCCACGGGTGTGTTAATGAGCACCTGGCTGACCGCACTCCCTCGCCCACCTTCTCCACCACGGACTCCGAGATCACCGAGCTGGCGGACGAGCGACAGAGCGAGATGTCTGACTTGATTGACGACGAGGCCTTCGTGGACGACACCAGCTCGGACGCCGGCACCGAAGAGGGCTCGGACATCTTCAGCGACGGCCAGGACCCCTTCTACGACCGCTCCCCCTGGTTTATCCTGGTGGGAAGGTTGGTGACTGTGCCGCGGCGTTGCCACGTCCTCCCCTCCTCACCCCCCCCGCCCCCACACACACGCACACACTGGAACGGGGGCTTGGGGCGGATGATGGCTTGGTTGAGGGTTTATTTTTAAATAGACACAGGTAGAGTGAAATGAATGAAACACTAACCGCACATTAATTATCTTTAAGCCCTCCATGGTGAAAGAATATTTCAGATCATGTATTCATAGCAGCTTTGCAGAGATAAATTGGAATACATTTTGAATTGAATATGATTAGTCATGCTTCTGTGCTCATAGCTCTGCCTTGTATGAGTTACTTTTAATTTAGACTTAGCTCCCACAAATTGAAAAGCCACCATTCCCTTTTCTCCTCCCAGCGTGATGTGTCACCCCCTGCCACAGCAGTGCAGACTTTATTAACGCCCATCTGTGTGTGAACTCCATGTATCTGCTGTGTCTGAGTCCATTTGTGGTCATTTTATTTTATTGTTAAATCCTTTTTTTTTAAATATTTTATTTATTTATTTAAATTTTGTATTGCATTACCTGAACATCTGTATGTATAACCTTGTTTCTGTTAACATTGCTTTTGGAAACTAGATAATATTAACTCACTTGTAGTTGACAGATTAATGCTTTTTATTGTTTGTTTTAAATCGTTGTCTGGACAAAAAGCTTTTGAAATCACAGCACACGCACCAATGCTGTGGCATCGCCGGGGCGAACAGTGTCATTGGGACAGAGATTGATATGTTTTCTTAGCCTTGAGTCTCCTAGAAGAGGGGGCGGGGGGGTGACTCACAGACTGGGTAACCTGGGCTGCACAAAACAAATCAATCAATCCGGACAAAACGTCAGTAAGTTGTGAGTTAGAGACCAACACATTAACATTCATCATTTTTACTGCTGCATCCCAGCTGGTCTGTCGTCACCCCATCGCGCAGTTTGAAAACCGTTAAAACTGCCTCTGATTTTAGTGCTTCGGAGCTTTCATAATTTTACGTCACTTTTTCTGTTCTTTAATGTGTTTTTGTTCTTTTCTTAACATTAATTGCCACTAATGTTTTGCTGCTTCTAAAAGTAGTCTTTAATACACACTGGAAATGTGCTGGAAATGTGTGTGTGCTCATTTGACATATTTGTCAATCTGTGGATGATAAATAGCAGATATAAAAAATATATATAAAAAAAGCAGATAACTAATTTGCTTTTAACAGGCTTTAATAAATGCAAGATACGGCATTTATTTATTCATCTATTTATATACACACACACACGCACATTATGATGTTATCTGGATCCAAACACTGCATCAGGATCAGGTTCTAAGTCTTTTCTACTCTCAGGGCTTTCGTGTACCTGAGCAACCTGCTGTACCCTGTACCACTGGTGCACCGTGTTGCCGTAGTAACGGAGAAGGGCGAGGTGCGTGGTTTCCTGCGCGTGGGGGTCCAGGCTATAGCTGGTGAGTAATTATTGTTATGCAAAGGCTCGACCCTGCTTGTAATTTGTGTGAAATTGTTTTATGAGGTTTATTTTGGTGATTTGACAAGGTCTCGGAGAAAAGTGTTTCATTCTAGCAGTTATAAAAGCTTACTTATTGCCACTTACTGTTTGAACTTTTCAAATATGTTCTTTATATTTAGGTCTGAAAATGTATTTAATGCAAATTGAAATTGTAATTAGTTCCATTTTCTATTTTGGTTTCTGTGTTAGAACATTTTGAAAAATTGGTAGCAGAAAGAAGATCCACTTAGATTATCTGTGTATTCCTTTTGATGTGCTCTGAGAAGCTTAAGTCAGCTGTTCCTGTGATACGTCCTGTAAAAAGTCTGCTTTGTCTCTGTAGCTGATGAGGAGGCGCCAGACTACGGCTCAGGAGTCAGACAGTCAGGAACTGCCAAGATTTCTTTCGATGATGAGTATTTCAAAAAGGTAAGTCACACGAAAGTAGTCTCCATACATTTGAGAGTTGGTGTATAATAAGTAAATTTATAATAGGAAGTTTTATACTGTTTATTAATCATGTTTAAAGTAAATATACATAAGAAATGGGAAAAGTTAAACTTTTCATCTTTAAATCATCCAATGTGACGCTGTATAAAAGATTATAGGAGATTAGTTTATTTGTTTTGATACAATCTATATTCTAATGTCTTCCTACTGTTGCATCTATCTCCCTTTGAACCAGAATGACTTCCCTTCCACTGTAATGACCCACTCCGGCTTGTCCCAGGAAGAGCTGCGCTTCGTGGAGGGTCAGGGTCAGAGTTCAGAGGTTATTACACCCTCAGAGGAGCTCAACAGAATCAATGACATGGGTACGGCTGCCCACACCTTCCCCCCTCAGCTCGTAAATGTTGACCTCTCAGCCCACACTTGGCAGATGGTCCTGTTAAATGCAAAGGAGGGCTTCAGCTCTATAGTTATGGAAATAAGACCGATGCTGTTTTTCTTACTTTGTGGAGGAATGTTTCTACAAATCACAGCCTTGATTATATGCAGAAACCAGTTTGATTATATTGTGCAACGCTTTCAATTCATATGCAGATTACAAATTGCAGGTGCAGCTCATTTTCAATAAATTTCAGCTCCTAACCCCCCCCCTCCCCCTCCCCCCCTGTTTTCTTCAGACCTCAAGCTCGGTAACGTCGCAGACACCAAGCTGAGTTGTGGAGATGATCTGGCAGGTCAGCTGGAGGTGGGCAGCATCTTTACCTTCCGTGTTACTGTCCTCCAGGCCAATGGCGTCCCGCCAGAGTACGCAGATATCTTCTGCCAATTCAAGTAAGTGCACAAGAGTTTGACGTATCTAATTCTTAATATCAAAGCTATACAGTTAAAAAGCTGAGGGCGAAACTGTGATTGCGTTCTGTTTATTTATGTTCACATATTAAAGTGACACATTGACACTCTTTCATGTTTCCTTCCATAGTTTCCTGCATCGTCATGACGAGGCTTTTTCCACTGAGCCTCTGAAGAACACTGGCAAAGGAGCTCCTCTGGGCTTTTACCACGTCCAGAACGTGAGGACTCACACATACACACACACACACACACACACACACACACACGGTATGCTTTAAAGATTCATTTTGAGACTTCCCTTTTTTGACTGTTGGAGCAGATTTCGGTTGAGGTCACAGAGTCCTTCATAGAGTACATCAAGACCAAGCCCATCGTGTTTGAAGTGTTTGGCCACTACCAGCAGCACCCGCTGCATCTTCATGGCCAGGACCTGATCAGGTTGGTGTGGTTACTGAAGAAATGCCTCTTCAGGGATTCATCCGTATTACCTAAAAATGCTTTTCTTATGCTGTAATTATTACCATTTGGACACCACACATATTACTTATTAGAACTAGTTTCTGTGTTGGAAGTTAACTGTACATTTATTTAATTACAGTCCTCCAACACCGTCTAGGAAATACTACCCAATTCCCATGCCTCTGTCTAAACCAGGTGAGGATTTTAATATCATCCCTCCACTTACTGTTCTGCACGTGTCAACCTCATATCATCACATTTCTCCCGTGTGTTATGGTTATATCAGCATGCCTCATATTTCCTTCCACTTTTTCCATTTCTCGCTTCCTTTGGATTTCTTGTCTCTTATTTAATCACTCCCACACCATCCGTAATCCTCTTACCCAACTCCATCCTCCCTCTTCCATGTTTCCGTCTTCCACATGTCCCCTCCAATCTTTCTCACAATGTTATGCATTGAAACCCTAGACCACACCCGTAAGATAGAGTTGGTCCGCTACCTGATGAGCGGCTATGTGAACGGCAAAGTGCTGGACACGCTGTCCGAGCACGCCAACGCCCTGGCCTCCTCTGCCGTGGCCAGTCTGGAGGACGAGGCCGACCAGCTCTCTCACTTCATCTTCCTCCCAGTGCCCAATGACCCCGTGCTAATTGTGCCCAAGCACCACGGTTGGTACAGTGGACACTGCCGTAGCTGAGGCATCAGATGCGTCTGCGTCGTAGTGATTAGACTAGCGTCGTGCTTGGCTCGTGGTGCTCTGTGACTGCAGGCGGAAGCTCCACACAGCCCTGCAGGGGTTGTGTGGGCTGCACCTTGCTGCAGGTCTATTTAGGTCCCGTCATCTCGGTCCAACCCTCCCCTGTCGCTTACAAACCGGCCTCAGCCGACACCTTCAGGTAAATCTGCTGCATATGCTGAATCTTAAGCCAAATAAAAAAAAAAAAAGTATTTATCATAATCGTGGAGGATTACTGGCGTACCGTAATATTCACGGCACGATTCAGAATTAAGGAGCATAACAGGCTCAGCTGCAGTCTAATTACGATAGTCGTCTTGTCAATTTCAACCATATTGAACACAAATAAATGTCGCTATATGCCTCAAAGATTAGTTTTATCAGGAAGATAATCCTGATGTGTTAGACAGCAGGGTGTGGTGTAATCTTTAGCTCCTTTATGGCATCTCAGTATCTGCAACTGCTGAGTTTAGTTCAGTGTCCATCTTGTTTCAGTGATATCGGACTTAAAGATGAACACGTTCTTTAACTAACTACTACAGAATATATGTGGGCTGTTTGCTCAGTGCAGGGTCAGCAAAGTGTTCACGTTACATACAGCCTTGACTTGGTAATGCAATTAATGTAGTTATATATCTATCGCTTATTTTCTTCCCTGAAATGAATATAGAGCCTATGTTTGTATATTTCAGTTGCAGCTACCAAGTTGAATACCATCACCAAGTCCAACCTGGGTCAATGCGTCAGCAAGTATGACCTTCTAGTCTGGTTTGAGATCAGCGAACTGGAGCCCACTGGAGAGTGAGTGTCAATACATTCATCTTATACTCTTAAAACAGTTTGGCTGTGTTTCCGCATAAGAAATGTATATGCTTTGGAAAAAGTACACAAGACATTATGATTGGTTAGGATGACATGAGAATTGTGACCTCCCTCCTTCCACAGGTACATCCCGGCTGTCGTGGATCACAGTGGAGGGCTGCCCTGTAATGGCAACTACCTACTGCACCAGGTACTGGAGATCTACACATTTTCTACAAATACACTGGTCACACTTCTCATGAAGTCCATCACAAGGATAAAGAAGCACAAAAGCAAAGGGAACATCCATTTTTTTGTTCTTGTAATCCAGTAAATGACATTTCTTCTTTACAAGAAACATTGAGAGGCTTAATTTAGTTCTAGCTCTGTACTATTATCCTAAGCTCCTGTCATGTGTGCTGCAGGGGATCCAGCGGAGGATCACTGTGACTCTCATCCACGAGAAGGGAAGCGAGCTCCACTGGAAGGACGTTCGCGAGCTTGTAGTGGGTGAGCATCGGCAGTCTCTCGTTCAGCGGCCACGCAGCGGAGAAACGGCGGTTTCATTTTTTCCTGCATGGCGGCTGCCACACAGCAGAATCAGTTGATTCCCTGACCATAAGATACAACGCCTTCTATTGTCTCTCTCAGGGAGTCCAGTTTGAGGCAGGGATGGAGGCATCTCCTTAGTCATAATTTCCCTTCGTGCAGTTGTTTCAGTTTCGCCTCACGCCACCTCTCTCTTTAAGTAGTGTAGCTGCAGCCGATGACGAAATAATTTAATTACATTTTTCACAGTGAGCTGCTGACATTTTTAATCAGGGACGCGGGCGTGAGTAAACGGGGGCATTTGTGGAGTGTCTGGACACGCGTGGCTATTAAACTACTCTGTGTTCATATCCAATGCATTTTTTAATCCATGGTAACATCTTGATGTCGTGCTGCTGTGTTCCACCAGGTCGGATCAGGAGCAAGGCGGAAGTGGATGAAAGCGCTGCTGATGCTGTCCTGTCCCTCAACATCATTTCTGCCAAGAACATCAAGTCGTCCCACAACTCCAACAGGTATTTAATAAACTGCTCATATTCACCGGAAGCAATATTTCAAGGCTCAATATTTCAAGGATTTATTGATGCTAAGAGAAGGTTTCTGACATTCTGCTCGTTAGTCTGAGCCTCACCTCAAATAATTTGTTTTCGAATTCTGAAAATATCAACTCTGTTGTTAGGTCAATTTTTATACTATTACATGTTGTCAGTTACAGTTTGGAAACGGAATCAGGCAACATCTGTGTATGTGCCATTGTCCCAACTAAGCTGAAGGCTCAGTGGAATCATTGCATGATCGTTTCCATTTTCACTGTTGTTGATTTTCCTGTTAATTTGCCCCCTTGTCTTTGTTGCCTGACTGTGTGCTTCTTTCTTTTTGTCTGTGCACTCTCTCTTTCCTCCTGCTGCGGCTGGACTCTTGATTGTGCTCAGGCTTTCTATTGATAAGGATATTGATAGGTACCATTGACCAGAGAACATAAGGCTCTTTCGTTGAAAGATCGTTACGCTTCTCTTTTGTCGCTTAGATTAATAGAAATAAGTTATCTGTGTTTTTGTTGGTATTTTGCATTAAGTCTGCCTTTATTTCCGTCCAAGCAAAAACTCTCATTCAAACATATTTATGGAAAATTAAAGGCAATCTTACATGCAAATGCAAAACCTTTTTTGTATTTGTTTGCGTAACAGTATGTTGGTCTTATGTGGCACCCAGATTCCAAATGAATGCCTTCCTCTCAGCTGTTATTCACTGTGTGAGTCATAGCTCAACAACAACCAAGGCCATTGAAGCGCCCACAGGGCAGTCTGTAGGGAGGAGTGCCCCCTGCTGCCCAAAACGGGAACAGTGGAAACCCCCGAATGGGCCGTTAAATAGCAATAAAGATAATGTAAAGTAGTCTGATCTTTACATTGATACTATGAAGTATATTATGTTGTAGTATAAATACGAAATGCGGGGCAGATGAACTTTATGTTCTGCTTGCTGCGGTTTGGGTCACACGCACATTCCACATTGCTGTCGCTGTTAACAGCTGTTTGAGTTGTGTCCATTGTTGGGCTCTCGTGACTAAGGATGAGCGGTGGGGCCACTTCAGCCATTACTCAATGTGTCATAATTGTATCTGTTACATCAATTACCGTATATCTAACCTCGTGTTTATTTAATAAATGTGTCTAGTCTGTTTGTAGTAAGACTGGATCCCACACACACGCTGTTGTTAAAGCCGTGTGTAGGACTTTACAGAAGATAACACTATGGATGTTAATATCTTATTTTGTCATTTTGTTTGTAAGGACTTTCTACCGCTTCGAGGCAGTGTGGGACAGCTCTCTGCACAACTCTCTCCTGCTAAACCGAGTCACTCCTTATGGAGAGAAGATCTACATGACCCTGTCTGCATATTTGGAGGTCAGTCATTACTTCTCGGTGCTGAGCTCAGTGTTTTACCTCTCTGTATGCAAACCCATCGAACATCTTCCCTTTGTCTCCTCTTTGCAGTTGGACCATTGCATCCAGCCTGCTATTATTACCAAAGACATCTGCATGGTCTTCTACTCCCGAGATGCAAAGATCTCTCCTCCTCGTTCCCTACGGAACCTCTTTGGGAGTGGATACTCTAAAACCCCTGACTGGTAAGGCTTTGGACTGCCACAAATGTGACAGCTAGATTACGTAATATCCAGTTCTCTTAAAATGGAATTTCCTTTGCCTCATTACAGCAATCGAGTCACTGGCATCTACGAGCTGAGCTTGTGCAAGATGTCCGACTCTGGAAGCCCAGGTGAGCAGACAACATAAAGAAAGCCACCACATTATTAAGACTCCTCTTAGAGCTTCGTCTTGAAGTGTAATTCTGTGCTGAACAGGGATGCAGCGGAGGAGGAGAAAAATTCTGGACACATCGGTGGCATATGTGCGTGGAGAGGAAAACCTGGCCGGCTGGAGGCCCAGAGGAGACAGTCTCATCCTGGAGCACCAATGGGAGCTGGAGAAAATGGAGCAGCTGCACGAGGTGGGTCACTCTCCTCTGCAGTCTGGAAATATAAATAATTTCTTATCGCCCCACTGGGTCCCCATCTAATACCCACTTTCCTCATCCAAACATTCATCTTAAGATGTAAACTTAACTCCTCCTCCCCCCCCCCCCCCTTTGGTTCATCCAGGTGGAGAAAACCCGGCACCTGCTGCTGCTGAAGGAGAGGCTGGGAGACGACGCTCCACTGGGAACTGCTCCCACCCCAAAGTCCCTGAGCGGGTTGCTATCCCCCAGCATGAGCACAGACAGCCTGTCCACCTCCACCTCCATCTCTTCGCAGATCTCCAGCACCACCTTTGAGAGCGCCATCACGCCCAGCGAGAGCAGCGGTTATGACTCTGCTGACATCGAGAGCCTGGTGGATCGCGAGAAGGAGCTGGCCACTAGGGTGAGCGTACCTTCAGCATTTACTGCACAGTTATGAACCGGTGGCAGATGCCGCTCCTCCTCTGCTGTGAACAGATCGGTCTAATCCTTGTTCTCTTGCAGTGCCTGCGCCTTCTGACGCATACCTTCAACAGTGAATACAACCAAGTGGTCAACAGTATTAGTGACTGCAAGGTGAGTGATGATAGAAAGGAACTCTGACTCTAGTTACTTAATGTCCCCTCTCTGGTATAGATCGGTGTCAGTGCTGTAGAGTAAAATCAGCAGCACACTCATTAATAACCAAATATTTTTCCTCCTGTAGTGTTCACTTTTGAAAATGATTTCCTCTTCTTCCCCTCAGCTGTCTGACATCTCACCAATGGGACGTGACCCATCAGTAACCAGCTTCAGCAGCGCCACTCTCACCCCCTCGTCCACCTGCCCCTCTCTGTCTGACTCCCGCTGTGGTTCCATGGACCAGAAGTAAAACTTATTTTATTTCTAAATAGAATATTGCAAGCTTCCTTAAATACTCAACACTATTCATGATTATAGATTGAATATATATATATATATATATATTGATATTGGCAGCCTGTCACCACGATGCTTACTTAGTGTAATTGTTTTTCCTTAGGACCCCGGAGAACAGCTCCCGTGCCTCCAGTCCCTCCTGCTCAGACTATGAAAACTTCCCCATGGTTCCGACTCTGGAGTCTTCCTACCTTGCACGGGCTGGAAAGAACGAGTTCCTCAACTTGGTGCCTGATATTGAAGAAATGAGACCAGGGTGAGTGCTGACTTGTTGGTTCTTTTGCTGTTTTAAAAAGTCAATATGAGCCCAAACAAAAATAGATATTCTTGTTCTCCAATCCAAGCAGAAATTATGTGAATGGATTTTTGAATCTGGGTGTTTTCAACTGGAAGCAATCCTCATTTTAGTTCGCTGAAGTAGAAAAAAACTGTGTATGTGTCTCCCCTGTTTTTTTAGATCGGTGGTTTCTAAGAAAGGTTTCCTAAGCTTCATGGAGCCGCGCTCCAACTCGTGGGTGAAGCACTTTGTGGTTGTGCGCCGGCCCTACGTCTTCATCTACAACAGCGACAAAGACCCGGTGGAGCGAGGTGTCCTCAATCTCTCCACAGCACAGGTGGAATACAGTGAAGACCAGCAGGCCATGCTCAAGGTAGAGCCTCGATTCCCTGTTCCGTATCAGATGGTTACTTTCAACAGAAGAATAACTGACATTCACAGAGTAAATAATGAGGTATCAGGCAAAAGGATCAAGTTATCAGACTTTGACAAAATGTGAAAAATAAGGTGAACCATTTAAAAAAAAAAGAAAAAAGCCATATAGATAGAAAAACTCAAGCATAACAACTATTTGATGCTTTCTTTTCAGACTCCCAACACATTCGCTGTGTGCACAAAACATCGAGGAATCCTGCTGCAGGCCAACAACGAGAAGGACATGAACGACTGGCTGTATGCGTTTAACCCTCTGCTAGCAGGAACGATAAGGTACGCACGCACGTCTCTCAGGGCGCTTTCACGAACCAATACACCTGTGCTGTGACTCAGCGTGCGTTTTAACCAGGCAGTATTGTGGATAGAGTGTTGTGAGTGCTGTAATCTCACTCTGGCGGGGACCAAGACAACATGTGTGCAGTTAGATTACAGTGAGAATATCATTTTACCCGATTGTAAGAAGTGAACCAAAACAATAGAGGATTAAAGGATGGCTGCTGTTGAGATGCACACAGGTTAAATAAAGGCTGACAGGAGTGGGAGAGGTCCGGTGTCGGTGGCTAGGGAAGAATTATCATAAATGCATTATATTACCTTAACATAAAATGTATAAATGATAACAGCCGTTTAGTGCGAGAATGCCAACAAACGTGAATTTGAAATGGCTCGGACACAAAGGGATGAGGAGAGCAGACAATGATGTGTCTCCTCATGAGCCGTGTGATTAGAATTATTAGTCTCAGTGTCTAACGAAGGCGACGAGCAGCATGTGACATACGTCCCTGGCTGCTGCCGGGCGTCTCCGTAGCTGGCTGGGATTTTGCGGTCACGTTGGTCACGCCGTTGACGGGAGGTCCGCTCACAGCACACTGGAGGTTGAGCAACACAGAAGGCCAGAGAGCCTTTTTCCATTATATTTCAGAAATGTCTGAGTGCTGTGTTTTTATTTACTTAAATAAAAGCATTTTCACCGGATGTTAATTAATTAACCAGAATGCTGGAAATTTGGTGGGACGGGACTCCCACGACCCCCACTTGATATATATTTCCCTCCATGGTGAAACAAAACCTCCACAGTTGTGTCCCCCTTGGAAATCGGTTGACTTCTGCAGCAGTTATTGAAATCTTGACCAAAGAAAGCTCACATTTGCACAGTTAGAAAACCAAAACGGAGCAAAAAGAGCAAAACAAAACTCTGAAAGAAAACGAAAAAAACCTTCATTTTAATTTTGGTTCAGACTAGTCAAGTGCTCTCCCACTGCTCTTAACTCCTAATTCCTCTGAAAACTGCTGTCTCTTCTCGTCACAAAATACCTCCTGTTCCCACAGATCAAAGCTGGCCAGGAGGCGCAGTGGCTTAATGAAGAAGTGAGGGGCTTGACTGGCGCCCAGGAAACCACGGCTTCCATTCTTTCCCGGCAAGCCTTTTGAACATACCAAGTGTTAACACTTATTAATCATTGTGATTCTTGACGGTTTTCTCTTGTTAGTAGACTTGTGGCTTAAGTCTCCTTTCATGCAACTAAAAGCTTCAGTTTGAGAGAAATTTGCCGCCCCCTTCAACAACCCTGTGTCAACTTAGCGCTCCTGCTCTCTATTTCTCTTCCCCTCCTCTTCCTCCTCAGCTCTTTGTGTTCTTTGTTTTTATGGCACTGTTCATTCCCTAACTAGTAGCATGTTGTGATAGTCTACTTGTGTGTGCACGATTCTTCAGAAACTTTTCTTCAGACACAAATCTTCAGTTTGCCAATCATCTGTAGAAAAAAAAGTTGTCTCCATCAGTGTTACTTGTTTCCCGAGAACAGTTTGAATTCTATTTTTGGCCTTTTTATTTTATTTTTTTTATTAAGACGCCTGCATGCGAACAGCAGAAGTCCTCAGAATTCTTTGAGTAAGCAAACCCGGTCGTCTCCTAACGAATCGGATAACCTACAGTTTAAACCATGAAGGAAAATATGAAAAAAAATGCGAAGCTGCTTCCAGACTTATTGCTGCTAATGAATTAATAGTTTTTCTTCTTCTCTTCGTGAGGCCGGGCCGCCGCCTTTGGCTCCCCTCTGCCGTCCCCTACACGGCCTTAAGATACAAAATGTTAAGTCTGAAAAATGTGTACCAACTCGGCTAGACCCGGGGGGTTCGGGCTGGATTCCCACCGTCATCCATGTGCTATTTAGATCCCACTCCTCCGTCTGTGCACGTCCATCCACGCCAACCCGCGTAGTGCCGTCAGTCAAGCGAGTACCTACAATCACGCATTTGTGTCAACATCCAAAAATGCGTCATGTCTCATCCGTGGAAACGTCACAGTGGATTGTTGCTTCAAGAGTAGATATTTATCCCTGTCTTTTTGCTATTTAATCTAAAGAAAAAAACAAGTTTTGAGGAGGAGGAGGAGGAGGAGGAGGAAGAAAGACAGAAAGAATATGCTTTGTACATACAGTCCGTTCTGGGATCAGCGTGGTAGTTAACTCTTATTTAAGACATTCCGCTCAGCGCAGTTTTTCTTCCAGTAAAATGTTGATAAAAGCCCAACATTTAGTCCTCCAGCCATCACATATGTGATCGAAAGACAAACGACAACTTGGTGAAATGGAAGGAAGGAGTGGGAAAGAGATCAAAGTGTCGATGCTCGAGTCGTGACGTCAGTAGATAATTGATGACGCTGACAGATACCGGATGGTCTACCACATGACTCCCCTCTCTGTCATGACATTGTGGGGTAAAAGCTCTAAAAGAAGTACTTACTGTTCAGCACACCACAGGTCACCATTGGTTATTTTCTATTTGTGTTCTTGAATTGAAACTCATCTCTACCAACTCTCGTTGGTGGATTTTTTTTTTTTAATTCTTAACCTTGTTTTCTTTTCTAAAAGGCTTTTAATCATTCCACAGTGAAGTTTTATACGACATGTAACAGGGCATTCATTTCATAAGTTGTAACCAGCTTCATTGGTGTTTAACCTTATTTTGCACATTTACACATATCTATAGCAAGACAAAGGCAGATCACCCATGTTTCGGTTACGGTTATTTATGATTATCAGGAACACCGATAAGAGCACATATCAAAGCTACACTGGATAGCTGTTTATTGGAAAGGAAGAAGTGATATTAAAGGGAAGAAATAGGCAAAGGTTTTATTTCTGATATTCTTAATGAAAATATTTGCTCTCAACATTGTACTACTACTGGCTCCTGATAAATTCTACCTCTGTTTCTTCAAAAGGTAGAAGTGTGACACGCGCAGATGGGCGTTAGATAAACGCTGGCCAACCAACCAGTAGTACGCCCACTCTATCATAAGGAAGGGACGTTATGGTTGAAGGAAACAGAGGTGGCCTTTGCCTTTGCCAGATTCTAGTGTTGTTGATGTAAAGAAATAACAATTCTGCCTCAGGAGTCAGAATGATTGAGAATCGTGGAGCGTCACTGCCCTCGGGTCAGCCAACCTGCTGGTCAGAGAAACTCAAACCTGCTGGATTGTTTCAGAGATAATGTTTTGTCTGATGGAAAAAAAATAATAATAATAATGATGAAAAGCTATCTATGCACTGATAAAGGCTCCCTGTGCAACGTGGCTCACATTAACCTCAGCGTGGTGTGTGACATGCATGTCGATAGGAAGACTTTTTAGAGCAAACATTTTCACGTCACTGACTAATTTGCAGAGATATATTATTTTGGATTGTGTATTTATTGTTTGCAATGTACATATTAGTTTGCAGCTCTTTGCACATATTAATAAAAGGTTCAACTAACCGATCAAATAGTCTGTGGGGTTTAGTTGTTCTACTCCGAGTGAACCAAATGATGGTGTGGCAGCCTCTTCCGCTCTGAACCGGGAGAGCGTTGAATGTAAAATGAAGAGGTGTTTTTCCATCGTTTAATATGAAGAGCAAAAAGAAGATGAACTAAAATGAACCCAGAGCATCTTTTTCAGGGGAGGTGAGTTAGAGTAGGTCCTCTTTATTAGAAGGTGGTTTGAGTGAAAGTCTGTTTTGGATTTGAAGAATATTTACTACTACTCGTGCTAGCCAGCCACTTGAATTATAACTAAATTAGGGTGGTTTTTAACTCATTCATTTTTTTTTCTAATATCAGGGAATATAATATGAAGTAGCTAGTGACATCAAAAATGACAGTATACTATTGTTGTAACGGTGTCTTTCTTCACCTAAACATTTTGATTTATTCTTCCGTTGATGCCTTTCAAAACAAAGCTAGCAATGATAGTTTCCATCTTCCCCTCTGATAATTAATATCAGTTAACTGCATTCTCTTTGGATTTGTCCACCAAAAAAAGAAAAGAAAAGACAAACCACAACATTTACCACTGTACATTATTTGTCAGACTGGTTTCATTTTCATACTTATTTTGTAAATATTTGTGTTGTATGGAGCTTGAATTAAAATGTAAATATGTTTACTGTATTTGTAATAATTATAATCCATTCGCTGTATAGCATAGATGTGTCATGCAGATATCCTAATTCTGTGTATGGTAATCTTGCACCATTGAACTGTTTAGTGAATGAGGCAAAAATAAAAGTGCAAACTTTGCGTTAGCAAAACAAGTGCAGCCTGTTTGTCTTCTCCTTTGTGCAGTTGGAGTCCTATTCGTATTGTTCTTTTGACATATTACTACTTCCTGGTACCAAAAAACATCTCTACCAGGAAAACCGATTAGGAAACGAAAATGTTGTAAGACATTCTGACACAAAACTGCTACAACAGTGTATTCATATTCCACAAGTTAAGTATTAAAAGCAGAATGTGTTTACACTTTCAGTTTTGCTGATTACATTTGACATTATTAGATTGAGATTGTGATGATGAGGAAAGAGGTGCAGGAGAGGAGTTCTGCTCAACATTTTCATAGTAATTGGGACATTAAATGTCACAAAGGCCCCCAGATTAAAACTGGGTTAATGTAAAACGTCACAAGCAACTTGTTTAATCTTGAACAATATTTACTATTATGCATACTATTATTAATTTAAAACAGAAAAATACATGTAGTAGAGTAAAAAGTAAATTTATCTCTGAAATAGAGTCCAATTACTTTGGTGCTGGTGCAAGTATTTCAGAGAATACTGTCTTCCCCTTTAAATGTATTTAGTACGTAATTGGTCATGAAACGACGCAGCCAATGAGCGGGTGGAGGATGGGGGGAGGGGGCGTGGCTGACGCCTTGTAAGTGACGGCCAAAAGGGCGAATAGGAGAACGGGTACATCTGCTCACGATTCTGGACCAATGGGGTTTCGAGAACAACATCGCTTCAGCTCACTGGCCGCCGTCTGATTGGCGCCTCTACTGGATTGTCTGCGTGAGCCCCTCCCCTCTGTCGTCACGAAGAGGAACGAACAAGGAAGTTAAAAACGAGCGAGGAGGAAATCCGAAGTGGAGTCCTTTCGTCGTTTGAACTCTGTCACTGTTAACATACCTGATCCACGGCGCACCATGGCGACGTAAGTCCTCCGAGTAGAGTTTTTCACACAGCCGTTAAAGTGGGACGAAAGCTTTAAATCCTCGTGTTTAAATGCTCGTAACGTTAGACTGTATCCTTTAACGTATCATTCGTTCGCAGCTATTTTGTTGAGCTTTTAGTGAACTTGGTTCTCGGATTTAAGAAAAATAATATGTAAAAATAACAAAGCGATTAAAAACACCGATTAATTACACAGCATGTAAATGTCATTGAATGTTTTGGATGTGATTGTGAGCTTTAAGGAACCTTGTTGATGCTCGTGTCTGACTGAACGTGATCTCTTCTCCCTGCAGAGCAGACATTGCACTGATTGGCTTGGCCGTCATGGGCCAGAACCTCATCATGAACATGAATGACCACGGCTTCGTGGTAAGATGACGACTCCGATGATTCCGTGTCCCACTTTTTAAAATGAATCCCTTCTTTTATTTCACTCAGTGCTTCCCTTAACCTCTCCAACAGGTCTGCGCTTACAACCGAACCGTGTCCAAGGTGCACGACTTCCTGAAGAATGAGGCGAAGGGCTCCAAGGTGATTGGCGCCGAGTCTCTGGAGGACATGGTGTCCAAGCTGAAGACGCCCAGGAGGATCATCCTGCTGGTCAAGGCGGGACAGGCTGTCGACGACTTCATCGACAAACTGGTCGGTAGTTCGGGTCTGAACCACGTTCCCGATTCGCTTGAGGGAACTTGAGTCCTTCCCAACTGCATCAACCGGCCCCGTGCTGCGTTTTGTTTCTCCTTCAGGTTCCTCTGCTCGAGGCCGGTGACATCATCATCGACGGTGGCAACTCTGAATACAGAGACACCACAGTAAGTCGCGCAGGAAAAAAAACCCAGATGGCAGTGAGTGTCTTTCCGTTTGTGGAACTTCTCATGGTGTCCGTGTTCCCGACGTGCAGCGGCGGTGTAAGAGTCTGCGTGAGAAGGGCTTGCTGTTTGTCGGCAGTGGAGTCAGCGGTGGAGAGGAGGGGGCGCGCTATGGACCCTCGCTGATGCCGGGAGGACACAAAGAGGCCTGGTGAGTCCTCACAAACGTCTCGCCTGCTCGCGCTTTCAGCTTCGTGGTTAAACGTTGGATACGGGGCACAGAAATGGCCAAATAAAGAGCTCCGCTGCCAGAGACGTGTGGGACTGTGAGCAGGTGAATCAATTAAAACCCTTCCTCTTGCTTTATTTTGAAGGCCACACTTGAAGGAAATCTTCCAGAGCATCGCTGCCAAGGTCGGAACAGGAGAACCTTGTTGTGACTGGGTGAGTGCCGTGAAATGTGTGTGTGACTGGTCCTCGTACCTATTGGTTGTAGCAGCAGCAGCAGCAGTAGTCGTTGTTGTTTTGTGTCGAGTCGTTCTCCCAATATTCTGATTTGATTTGACTGGTGCAGGTTGGAGATGAGGGTGCAGGTCATTTTGTGAAAATGGTCCATAACGGCATTGAGTACGGCGACATGCAGCTGATTTGCGAGGCCTATCACCTCATGAAGGACGTTCTGGGTATGGACCACGATGAGATGGCACAGGTGAGCTCCAATCTACGTCGTCTGCATTGGTGTTTGCGCGTCAGTTGTGTGTGTGTGTGTGTGTGTGTGTGCCTGACTAATGTATTTCATCACGCTGTGGTTGAATCTCTCAGGCTTTCGACCGCTGGAACAAGACCGAGCTGGACTCCTTCCTGATCGAGATCACGGCCAACATCTTTAAATACCGGGACTCCGACGGTACCCATCTGCTGCCCAAGATCCGCGACAGCGCCGGACAGAAGGGCACCGGGAAGTGGACGGCCATTTCAGCCCTGGAGTACGGCACACCTGTGACTCTGATCGGTAAGAGGAAGAAAGGAGCCCGTCGACGAGGAAGTGGCTGGTTTCCTTCTCTCTTCTTCCAGTAAAGACGGTATTACGTCACACGTGTAAAAGATTTCAGCACCGACCTAACAAACTGGAGGGCAGCTAACAAGGATCCCAGTTGTTTTCACCCACCTTTATCTCTGCTGACACACTGATGTGTGGCGGCCACTAAGCAGATTGACGGCTTTTCTGGTCCTCGCCGGTGACATAAGGAGGATTTGTCTCTGCAGCTTTGCTCTTTGCTCTGACTGTATGGCGGCCGGTTTCATAAAACGCCGAGGGACAAAATAATGTTCAGGGAGTTTAATCAACAGGTGCAATGGGTGTCTTTTTATATCCGCTCATATAAAACCAAACCCACTACTCGTGACCGGGACATCAGACACCTTGAGTTAAGGTGCGTTCATGCAGATATTATGTTTCCCTCAACCATACTAGAGATTAGATCTTGTATGAAAACAGATTTTTGTTTCCTCGATCCCTCTCAGTGCTGTAGATCCTTTTGTGATAGAGCGACATCGAGGTGTAACAAAGCTGTCATTGTGTGAGCGCTCAGCCGGTCTGAGGGAAGCGAGCTGACAGCCCGTTAACGTGCGCATGGCCGCATCTCCTGTTGGGAAAACACTCCCCAGGATCGTCCCCTCCCTGTACACCCTCTGCCAGTCGATTGCATCACTTTTTTTTTTTTTTTTTTTTCTTTTTTGGCAAGTCATGCTTACCCAACAGTTTCTTCCTCCTCTCTTGGTACTGTGGTAATCTAATGGACATTTTACCATGGCAACGGCATGTCTCTCTCTCTCCTGACGTCGTCGTGGCATGAATCATTCAAAGCTCCTTTGAGTCGTGCTGATCCGTCGGCGTTTGTTTGCTCGGTGTTCCTGCAGTAAAACTGGGAATGTGTCATCATAACCTGTGAAATCCTTTTTATTGTGAGGAATTTCGGAAAATCAAAATGACGGTTTGCAGAGTTCTGTTGTGGAGTTCTAATAACTTGGAAGTGTTGTTACTTGTCCCTTTTTTTTTTTTTTCTGTGCCTCCTGTGTCCTTAAAAAAATAAATAAATAATGAAATCTGTTTCAGGGGAGGCTGTCTTCGCCAGATGCCTGTCCTCTCTGAAGGACGAGCGAGTCGAGGCCAGCCGCAGCCTTTCAGGGCCACAGGGGGTCAAGTTCAGCGGGGACAAGGCTGCCTTCCTAGAGGACATCAGAAAGGTAGAACACAGTGCGGTGTACTTGGTGTATAAGGCAACGTTCAGTTTTGGCTTGATTGCCGTTGTGAAGAGGATCATTGCTCTTTGCTTTACGGCTTAAAACGAGTTCCCAGTTTCATTTATCTACCGTGTACTTCTCTCCTTTTCAAGGCTCTGTACGCCTCCAAGATCATCTCCTACGCGCAGGGCTTCATGCTCCTGCGGCAGGCAGCCAAAGAGTTCGGCTGGTCCCTCAACTACGGCGCCATCGCCCTGATGTGGAGAGGAGGCTGCATCATCCGAAGGTACTTTTACCCTCATTTGTGTCCCCATATGGCAAGTGTTGCCTCACTGCTGTATTGTGCAACCTCTATGTCAACCGGTGTGTTTCACACAGATGGTGAAAGCTGTTGGTAATGTTAATTGGTTGTGTAAGAGAGACTTGCTAAAAGCAATTGATTCAACTCCCCGTTCGAGATTTCCCTACAGGGTTTTTAATTATGATTCTTAAAGTAAAAGAGCCGAGTCTCACCATAAAGGAAGTTTAACTCTTTTTGCCGTTTGTAAAATCAGAAATCGAGACGGATGAGGAAATGATGGTTGTGACACTGGCTTGTTTTGTGTAATCTGGCAAAAACTGTTGCGTAAATCCAACTCAAATAACCCTCTGTGTGACTTGCACTTATCTAATGACAATCTTTTCCTTCTTCTGCTCTTTGCTCTTCCCACCAGTGTCTTCCTGGGTAAAATCAAAGAGGCGTTTGACCGGGACGCCGAGTTGCAGAGCTTATTGCTGGACTCTTTCTTCAGTAATGCCGTGCAGGATTGTCAGGTATGATGGAGGAGGAAGTGGCCAAAGATCAATCTGCAATACCCACATTGACTGAAGACACACAAATAGATATTTCCTCTTCCACAAAGAACGTGTGGACACCACTTTTTAGCTTCATTGTCACTCGTATGGAGTCTGCACCGATCCACAGGGAACATGTTGTCTCACAGACATGAGACCCTCTGCAGCAGACTGATCGACTATAATCACATTGGCTCCATGTGACTAGTGACCACATGGCCGTATTACAATGTTGTTGTGTAGGATTTGGTAGTGCAGCTGCAGGTTGCAGCCAACTGAGACTTCTCTCTGTGTGGTAAGCGTGTAGCAGAACTACGGTTGAGCAAGTTATTGGTTCGTCCGTTCTTGGATATTGTGGAAACTTCTCATTGCAACTTGGACTCGTAGAAGACCTGCTCCATTTTCAGATATAAACTGCTCCTTCTGCACTAAAGAGAACTTTTATCATGTTTATATATTCAGGTGTCCACTATCAAAAACACATGCTGTACTTTTCTTTTTTTTTTTTCTTTCTTTTTTTTTTTTTTCTTTATTAAACTAAGTTTTACAATGAAAAGTTGTCAATCCGGTTCCTTTCTTCTGTTTTTAGGAGTCCTGGCGTAGAACAGTCAGCACCGGCGTCCAGCACGGCATCCCGATGCCCTGTTTCACCACGGCTCTGTCCTTCTATGATGGTTACAGAACCGAAAAGCTGCCAGCCAACCTGCTGCAGGTGAGACAAGGGATCACACGGAGCTCCTCTGTTTGCGATCTTTGGACTAGACTTTATTTTTATTTTTTATTTAATCTTTTGAAACCACACAAATGTACTCTGATGGTCAGTTTGAATCTCTTTATTACACAGAAGGTCAAATGTTCCGTGTGTGTGATTCTCGCTGTTCTCAACTGGGAGGCGCAAGTTATCGTTATCGACCTCCTGTAGCGATTTAAAAACAAGCGGATATGTTATGAACCACCCTAGTTGTTGTGACATGAATACGTCCTTCGTAACGCCGTCACCATCTGCAGCGGGAGTGAGATTCAACACGTCCTTGTTCGGGAGGGAGACACGTTTTTAAAAAAACTGACAACTAGTTTTTACAGAACGGTCCAGTGAATCGCGTGTGTAACTAGTTGTATTTGTTTGTTTAGGCCCAAAGGGACTACTTCGGAGCCCACACATATGAACTGCTGTCAGACCCCGGTCATTTCATCCACACCAACTGGACCGGCCACGGGGGAAACATCTCCTCCTCCTCCTACAATGCTTAAGGATCGCCTTCACCTCACTCAAAACAAAATACAACCAAGAAGGAAGGTCGCGGGGGAGGGATCCGCGTGAGCAGACGACATGTTACACGTTCCCACTTCAAAACCATAATAACCACTGAATTTGAGGGACGCGTCTGGGACAAACCCTGTAATCAAACGTCCTACTTCTCACGGTTGTGTTGTTGCCGTTTTTATTTATCAAGTGGGTTGCTGTCGTGCTAATGTTCACCGGTCATGTTGCCCTCCGGGTTCACGGTGTTAACTCTGGATTAAGGTGAACCGTTGCACTGTATTAGGCTAAATAAAGATTTCAATCCCTTTATAAATAGCTCGTCTCCTCCTTACGTGTCGGGTGTTGTGATCAGTTTGTGCTCTAACATGGAGTGAACATATGCTATGATCACACACGCTCCAGTCACATGTGGAAAAAGTTCAATCTTGAATGTGTATTGGGACCAATATCGGCATCGTCTCTAGCTTATTGTGTTCCAGTGATTGTCCAGCAGATGGCCCCAAGACTGTGACGCATCTCTAGACAGTAATACTAAGACTTAAGCTGAACACTGCCGTGTGTCAGAGGACCCTTTTATTGTAGAAGCAGAAAGTCTGACCTCTTATGAACATCCAGGTTTTGAGCAGTAAATCCATCGGGGTAAAATGTGTGCCAGAGGCCTCAGCCAGCCAGGCATCTCTAGGTAAAACAAACCCAAACCACGCGAATATATTCAAAGGGGAAAAAGAGAAACCACGTTAGCGACGGCATTAAGGAGCCCTCTATTCCCCGCTGTGCTCTCTCAAATCAGGCTGCTCTCCTCAGCTGTTCTGTCGGTTGCTGAAACCAAAACGCAAACACCCCCCACAGCTAACAGGCGTGTGTCGCAGCTGCTCTCACACCTGCTGCTACACAGTTAACAAAGCCTCACCTCGGTGCACCTGAGCTGCTATGGCTTCTATCTTCTATTTGATGCTCTAGACACCTCCTTGTTGGACAGTCACAGCTTTCATCCTGAAACGGGAACACGGCAGATCCAACAAATGAAACATTCAGCTACACACACTTCAAATAGCAGGAACAGGCAGTGGGAGGCTGTCTGCCAAATTATTGCTGCGCTGTTATTTGGATTTCTCCAATTGGTTGAAAACTACATGTTTGTGAGCTTATTTTGCCCCCTCTTCTCTAATAAAGAACTCATTGGATTATCTACACGTTCTCTAACTATTCTAAGAGGGCCACGAGGAGCCACGAGGGGGAGGACGAGGCGGCCGAGTCAGCTGAAGACCAATGACGCAGAATGAAGCCTGGATAACAGGTGCCAACTAGTCCGAGATGCTTTCAAACTATCATTTTCTTCTGGCTATTCGCTGACCGGCTATATTGTTTTTATTTCATCAATTGCTCCGATGAATGCCATACAACCTCAGACTATACAACACATTTTTAGACATTCAAAATACAGACTTTACATAACTGTCAAAAACATTGTATGCTAGAACTTTTAAGGCCTTTATTTGGCATATTTAAATGTTTTCTTTCACCATATACTTTGGATCACTGCTCTATGACTTTTAATAGACGAATATACAAATCAACACAAAAGTGTTCACATACATTTAATGAATAAATGGGTTTATTTTACATTCTAAACTGACTTTCTTTTTTTTACATAATACGGCAAGACTTAAATGACTTTTTCCGACATTATACTATGCCCTTTATTTGAGATGTAAATACTGAACTTTAAGTTCTTGTCAACATACTTGATACAATCACTTACGTTTCAACATTTTATATTTAGAATTACTTTTTTCAGAATGACATTTTTTATATTCTATATTTTGACTAATATTTAATACCAGGACTTAAAAATATATATATACTGGCGATTATTGGGACATCCTTATGAATAACTATACCAGTATTTGTCACACTGTACAATTACTTTCTTCTCCTTAACTGTCCATTAATGATGCATCATTAACAGCAAGCACCAAAATGACAAATTCTCGTTTTACCGCCCAAAAAAGAAATCTTTGAATAGAAGACATGAAGTGTCTAACTAAGAGTGGGTTAAAGCCCTGTAACAAAAATATTTGAATCAATCTACATTGAGAGACGACAGGCGATTAAAAACTCAAAAACCTGTTTATTTTACACCGCAATACTAAAATATTTCAATACAGAGTGAAAAGTCCTGCTGGCATGTTTAATCAGTCGTTTAAATCCCTTTCTTAAATCTCAGCGTTACATTCGGACCAAGTTCACAAACAGGATAAACAAAATGACAGAAACATCTTGCTTTGTTGAACTGCTTTTTGATCACATTGAAATGAAACCTACCAGTTAATACTTCCATAAGTTAACAGTGACAACTACGAGGACAAAGAATAAAGCGTTCACTGACAGAATTGCAGGTTTCAGATTGAGAAAAAAAAGGCAGACTTTGTGTTTTACAAGTTTGGGGGAAAAAAACAAAAGAAATAACGACTAACACCAAACTGTAAGCGTGACTTTGGTCCTATTTGTGTCGTTTGTAGGTATGAACAAATACCTCAGGCCAATTGGAGTGTGGTCCGCTCTAAAAATTTGATTAGGGGATGGTCCGAGGTGTCTTGCTAGTGAAGGAGATCCTTTTCAGGATTAAGGCAGTCGTGCAGCAATCCCATTGTTGGTTTTGGTTTGTGCCGGCCCACCCACCAATGTCTTCAGCTTCTTCACAACTGACTCCAACCTGGATTCTGACGAAAACCCGGGATGTCCGTGTCCGAGGTCCCTATACATGTGAATTAAAGTGTTGGCATTTGAATTAATGTGAAGTCAAAAATAAGTCACTGTCAAAGAGTGTATCATACCTAGTCAAATTCAGTTTTTATTTCAGACTTCCCTTTGATTCACAAAACATAGAAAAGCATTCGTAACCACTTCAAACACAAACTTTCAATGGGAACACTCACCACACCACCTCAAACTTAAACACACTTTCTGTAATTTCTTTCCACACAGACTCAAAGTCGCATTTTCACACAGAGAGGGTGGTAACAAGGAGAAAATAAAGCAAACAACCAGACACAGCATCCACATTAAATCAGACGGCAAGAGAAAGCTACTAAAGGGATACAAATACTTGACATTTCACTTATTTTTTTTAAAGAATTAAGGATGAAAGATGATGACAAAAAGCAGAGACCAGAGGGATCTCGAGATGCAATAAATGTCCTCGTGATGGCCATTTGGGACACACTCGTACTTGCTTCTTCCGCTCACACTCGCACAAAGCCACAGGTTCTTCTCCACTCTCGCAGGCATTTGTTTCTTTAAAAAAATGTTCCGCACAAACAGTCCTTTCCACACTCCTCTCAATTTGCTCTCCCGTTCGCGCACTCACTCGGTCCAACATCAATCCCACTCATTGATCTTGAAAAGCGACAAGAGTAGACAAGATTTCTATATCCTTAAAAAAAGGGAGGAAAAAAAGACAACACCCACCGTCTAACACAGAATATGCAGAGTGAAGCTGTGTTCTTTGATGGCAAAGCATTTACACATGGGAAGAGGGGAATTGATACTGAGATCGGTCGAACATTGCAGCCAATGAGGCGCTTCCTCCCGGGAAATTGGGAAAGAGTTGATGAACTGCAGAAGAGATTTTCATGAAGGCGTTTCCAAATGACGTCAAAACAAAAAGAATCAATGAACTGCACACAGATATAAAGTTCTATCAAGCTCATTTTACACGGGGACGAGGGGCTCTCAAGATACTCGTGCATGTTTAAATATTTATCTTGCATGCAGCCCTCTGTTTTAACATTTAACAACAAAACAAAATGAAGTGTAGGAGTTTCCACTAACAAACTAAACTTTCCACCCATTCAATGCATGACATAATCAGTCACACGCAAGTATAAATTTTCTCTTTTTAACAAAATAAAAAGGCAGTATATGTTTAATAATAGGAACATAAGATATAAGCAGTTCCCAACTGTATGTATACTTACCGGATTAGCCTAACAGCAACAGAGAAGCGCAACTCTAAGCTACCTACACTCCCCAACTAGAAGACTTGGAATCCATAGAGGTACCAAAGCCAGAGCTGAAGCCACTAGTGGAGGCCGTGTTAGTGCCTGCAGCCCAGCCGAGGCTAGCCGAGCTGGGGCTGCTGTAACTGGTGCTGGAGGAGCTGTACGTCTGGTCTCGGGTGGTCGGGGCCGTGCCTGCCGTGGTGGTCAGACCCTGCTGGTTAGCCAGCATGCCCATCATTCCCCAACTGCTCTGCAGCGCCGCCTGGGCAGCAGCGACCATCGCTGGGTTTAGACCGAGAGCCCCAAAGTTTACCCCACCGCTACCGCTGCCTAGCCCCCCGCGATTACTGCCATAGCCCTGACTGAACCCCCCAGCCCCAAACCTCCCACGATCCATCATTTGCCTACTATTATTGTGTTTGGGCTCGGCATTGGAGATGTGCACGCTGATGCCCTTGATGATCAGGTCCTCTCCACACAAGGCTTGGGCAACCTGAGAAGGAGAGGAGACCATCAGTGGTCGTCAACGTAGCAGCCATTTATAATCCAGCTCTGCCTTTGATGGCGAATCTCACCTGGTCGTCGGCAAACGTGACAAATGCAAAAGCCCGGAACGGTTTGGGGATGAAGACATCCGTGACTTCGCCATACTGCATGAAGTACTGCCTCAGCTCGTCCGTGGTCATGTCCTCTGTGCAGCGGCCAACAAAGATTTTACGGCTTCGCATGGGCTCATCGGGAGACGCCTGAGAGGACAAACGCGCACAGCAATGGATTAAGAACTCTAGGGTTGAGCTTTTTTTTAAAAGAAATACTTCTGCTCAATTCTGAATTCATTTTTCAAACATTTAATCTGATTCACCGCAATTCAGCAAATGTGTAATTTCAAATCTTTTCGATGAAAAAAAATGGGACAGAGACCAAAAACTTTGAGGTTTGACATAATTTGTAAATGCTGTCAACTTTCTCAAGGAAATTAACTCTGCATTGAATGGAAAGGACAGGATCGGGACAGAATAATCAGCTCTTTGAACGGCTTAACAAAATAATATCTAAAAGCAGAAATCCAATCAACTGACCCCCGACCCAAAGGCCACGTGAATGTATTCATACCAACTGTTCTTGCACTGAAATGGTCCCCAAATTACCTTTGAGTTGGGGAGTTTGCAGTCACACCATCGTCCATCAATCATGTGTCTCTGAGCAATCACTTTGGTTTGTGTCTCGTACTCAGTGAATCTGACAAACCCAAACCCTTTGGAGTTGCCAGTCTTTAAATCTCTCTTGACCTGGAGTGAACGGAGGGCAGGCAAGCTTAATTACAACTTGTAAATGAATGCGAATAACAAGGGTCACATTACACTCCGGGGCAAACAAAAAGATATTCAGATCAAGACCAGATGTCATCACCTGCACCATGATGACCTCCCCGAAGGTGGTGAAATAATCCTTCAGGTCTTGTTCCGACGTTTTCCACGGCAGCCCGAGGACGATGAGATCCGACGTCTTCTGAAAGCCTCTTTTCACTTTCACAGCCGAGGCCGCATCAATTTCTTCCATCTTTCTTTTGTTATCTGGGGAGAATGGACGGGAAGGCGCGAGTCACATTAGGAAAAATGGTGTAATAAATGAGATGGAAATACAAACCCTGTGGTCTCTTTGCGGTCTGGTTGTGGCAGCAACACAACAACCAAGTAAGACAGCACCTCAACATTTGATCCGTATCTGGCTGCAGACCACCTTACTCCAAACCCATGCAACTCACTGAGGGTCTGCTTTAACAGCCCTGACTGGTCTATGGAAACTGGCTGCGGGGATCTTCTCCCATTTAGGGAGCATTGCAGAAGTGATGTTGCATATGTTGGAATATCTAAGAACTGCACCCTGTTGTGCATGGGGGCAGATGTAATGTTCCATCAGGAAAGGAAACTTTTCCCCGAAGATTGAAGCTTGATTTCTTCAACAACAACAAAAACTGAAAAAAGGAGCAGTAACATCGATCTTCACTCGAAATAATGGACAAGAGGGAAACCGGCTAAAACGAGTGCGGCCTAAACACAACAAACCCTACGCCAACATCTCACCTTTAGGGTAATTGACGACATAGACCAGGTTTCCCCAGTCGTTCTCGGGGGCATGAAGGACCCCCTCCACCAGCCGGACCCCCCTCATGCACTGGGACTCCGGGTTCCGGTACCGCAGCCCGCACGCGCCTGGAAACTGTGCGGCTACAGATGACAGCAATATAGTACCGTCATCCTCGGAAGGAATCTCCATGGGCTCTTCGCTTTCATCCTCAGCCACACGAATGTACAACTCCGACATGGTCTCTAAAAGGTCGATCGCCGGTCCAAGTGGAAGCAGCCGATGGAGTTAAAAGTTAAAGACCGGAATGGTGCACGCGAGTTTTTGTAGAGTCGATCGTCGATGAAGTTTAACGTTACTTTAGTCAACCGGGGGACGAGACTGAACTATATCGGTAGTCAAAGGCACGCACGAACTATGTGGACCACAAACGCTCACTCAATAACCCTTCAACATTCACTAGCGTTCTTCTCCGTTTGTTAGCACGCGTAAACACGTTAGTCGGCTAGCTAGCTAACAAGCTAGCGAACGGCTTGAAAAATGAATGACCATTCAGTTTCACGCACTGTTCACCGCTAACGAACACGCGGGCTCTGTTTTTGTCTGCGGGTCTGTAGCTAAAAAGTGCACGCTTACATCAACATCGACAAACTATCTCGTTCGTTCAGATTTACGCACAAAATCGCAAAGAACACATTTATTGCAGCAGTACGCGCGCGGCTAACCTCTGTAACCTCAAGCTAGCTAACAAAATGGCTGCGCACTTTGTAGAGATGACATCATCCAGATGGAAGAGTACACTTTTGAGTTTTTGTGGGGTTGTTTTACATGTCAAACTATAAACATTGAGTAAATTATTTGAATCCAGGTCATTTGTCCCGGCCTAACTATTTGCACACATAATTTTGACGTTATTTGTTTGACTCTGTTAATCTTGTCGTGTTATATAACTTTCAATGAGAAAGGTTTAAGAACCAAGGCATACCCTTTGAAGTCGTATATATAGATTTGCCCAGAGTCCAAACAAAAGGTGCGCACCATGCGCACTGGGAAATTATATCAAAAGCAATCGCATGCAATACCATATCACCGTGAGGATTGGGAGATTGTTTTTCAACCGAAGTATAAGAGTTTAATCCATATTCAGGGATACTAGGTTTACATTATTTACATTTATATTATTCTGTGTAGCCAAACATAACCAGAGGATTACAGCAGCAAAGGTTAGAGTGCAACATTGTCGAACATCCTCAAACCCACAGATTCATAGATTTTGTAAGATGTCAGGATGAATGGTACCAAGTCTAAAATAGTGTAAGATATATAGAATATTTGTATTTGATGGAATGGTCCATTAACAAGAAACATATGTGACAGTTTGGTTTTAACATTTCCCCTTATTTTAAACACGTTCTTTCAATAAATAGATGAATGGACATGTGGCCTACGATTATTTACTTTATCCATAATAGATGACCACTAAAAAAGAGGTGTTTCAACTGCCTCAAATCCCACTGTTCACACATCCGGGGCACAATGATCATTTCAACTTGAAAGTGTCAAAGCAAACACACCTGTGTTTATTCCCACTTCCCCTGAATGAAGTCACATCCCTGAGTGACATCAGTCCACTTACCTACAAATAGGCTCAAGGGTCAGACTGCCCACATACGTCAGTGGAAGGGACATGGATCAGATCAGATTGGGCATTCCACTTAGAATCATGTAAGTAGCATAATGTTGTACAAACATGAACTGCACTATTTTCAAGATTAACGTCTAATTTTCCCTCTTTCTAGTGTTTTACAATGTTTTGTCATGGGGAGCGCACTTTCCATTCAGTCAACAGAATGGAATCGTACGGCAAGATTGACAGGTGAATCATTTTAAATGTTGTTTTGACATCTCTGGAAATGTTGTTGTTATTTTCTGAAATATTTTCTGTCTTTACTTTCAGAAGGAGATGTGGAATGCTTTTCTGAATACATGGAGATGTGGATACACAGTGGAAGGATTGGAGGATTGGGACTCTGGCTGTCTGCAGCCTTAAAGATCCAAGGTAATTCTTTCAATATATTTAAAAAAAATATTGACATAGATATGAGATAAACTCCCTTTAACTCACGTTCTCTTTGGATAAGTACACCTTGCTTCCTTGGACCACCTGAACCTCCAGCTGTCTGCCTGTGGATTCTCACTGCACAAATACCCTGACAACAACTTTATTTTTAGAGTCAGTTACACTGGATGTTTTGTCCAACAGCTGGTACGTACGACGCATTTAGAATTGTCTAATGCATATTCACAAACTCGGACGATTGCCCGCGATGGGCCTAGTGCTGATAATTCTCTGGCTGCATATTGATCTTTCAGAACAACCATCATGTTCTGAAACTGAATTTGGTGAAGAGGATAAACCGATTCAGGGAAAGACCTTATAGTTTCACGATGAAGTGTCCCGTGGCTCCTGTACTGCCAAGCAGAGAGCAGATCCAGTGTGACCCAGAGTGCATTCAGGTACTTGTTGATTTCACTCGGTCATCCGTTACTTACCAATGTGTTCGTTTGAAGAATCTTATTCGCTTTGTGTGTGTGTGTGTGTGTGTCTGTAGGTGACCAGACAAGTTCCCCATGACAACTGGGACAACAAGGTAGTAATTCACACTAATCCCAGTGAACTCAGCCCTTAGTAATACGATTGAATTATGCATGTAAACACCTACTTGTGTACTTGCATGTGTGGTTTTTGCATCACAGTTGCGTTGGTCGCTGTCGCTGAGCGATCACCTCGTTGTTGCTCTGGAGGATGCGAGTCTGATCCAGATGAACGTTGACATGAGCGGACCAGACATTACAGTTCAAGGCAGGAGAAGGGAGGTCTTGAGCCCCGTGGAAGTAAGAGAATGTGCACAGCATCCTGCCACCTAGTGACCAATGGCAGCATTACAACTAAATCTCACTGCATTACTTTAATGTTGAACGCAGGTATTGGGAAATGAAGGGGAATTCCTGGCCTTGAAGCTGGTTAGTGGCCAGTATGCTTATAGCATGGAAGCCACTTGTCCAAAAGGTGGGTAGCAACATAGAATCAGACTCAGAAGTTATTCTTTTTTCCACACCACAAACTGTAACATATTCACTACTAAGTAGTTTACTTAGGTAAATCCTGCACTACAATGATGTAAAAATGCACCATTTAAAGTAAAGTGCTCTCATTTCAAACTATAAAGTCGAGTACAAATATAGTGTTTCCCAAAAAAGAGTGGGGATGAGAAAGAAGAAAAAAGTTCTGTAGAAAAACGTTTTGAAATGGTGGATTATTTAAAGTTCACAGGGGCCCCGACTACAGATTGCTCTTTTAAAAGGGGTTAGGTACAAAATGCTGTTTATCACATAACTGACTTATGAATAAATGCTGTGGAATAAATAAATACAACATTTACATCTAAAAGTAGTATATCCTTGAAAGAACCATGTAGCAGTACCTCAAAAGTGTATTTCAGCAAGTGTTCTTCCACCACTAATCTGACATTGTATCTCTGATCCAAACCTCAGTGACTGCGTTCACGCCGGAGGAGACTGAGCTGCACATTTTCAAACGCCGTATGGGTTTGACAAAGCGAGGCAGTCGCGACAACGAAGCACTAACACTCAGTGATGTGTCGGTGAACCAGACAGACAATTTCACCGTGCATGAGACGAGGGAATTTGTGACACTGATCATCACTACAGCCCAAATACTCCAGACCAAGGTTAGTGCTGACAAAAAAACCTGTTTGAATTATTACCAGCAGTTTACCGTCAGGGTTTCACTAGAGTGTAAAACATCTAAACCAGGTTTTCTCTTAAAGACCTGTGGCGACAGGAAACAATTCCTGCAGCCATTTTACAGGGTGGATGTTGTGCTCACCTTCAAAGAGACAAATCACAAAACGCACTGGACCATGGAGAACACACTGCCATGCACAGGTGAGTGTGCGGCTGATGATCACAGTAAAATTAAAGTGGTGATTTATTATCGGATGATATTTTGACCACTAGCCATTGAAACGCGTTTATTGTGGTCACACAAGGCTTTTACTTTAGATTGTTGCTCAGTCAATTCCTCTATTAAATATAAGTAGCACATCGCATACAATTCAGAGCGAGACAGATGTGAACGCAGAAGTAATTGATGGAAAACCACAAATCTTTATTGTATCATGTTTTAAGACATCGGAAAAATACTCTGTGTCTGGTTTTCCAGCAATGAAAAGCTATCTTGTTAAAAATGCAGCGTTCAAATAACGTTGTTCATTAGAAAAGTTGAACTTCTAACTAAAAAGTTACACATCACACATCATTCTGCAGCTCAAACATAAAGGACAAGTGACAGCATGTAAAACAAATGTTTAAGGGGTGGAGGGATACTAGAGTTACAGGACTAGTTATAACACATGGATGTGTTGATGTTGAGTTACATGAGTTACGGTTAGTGTTGTGAAGGCAATCCTAACTCCTTGATCTTATATCATTTATTATTGAATCATTTTTAAGAATATTGCTGCTTCTGGATAAAATCTCACTAAAATGATGCCATCGTACCTCCGCAGCCGGACCCGCCGTTCCACACAGCACACCCGTTCCAAACACTACAGCGCCACCAACGGTCAACTTTGAGCACGAGGGGTCAAGCACAGAACAGCCGGAGGACGACCAAGATGATCGAGCTCCAGTCGAAGAGATGCCCGCAGAGTTTTCCTCCGCTGATTCCACCCATACACAGACCGAGGCCCGCGGCTTTCATTTCCACACTGATGAGGGCCAAAGGATAAACTCGTCCTCTGGGTTAGATGGAGGCCACATTGCTTCCATTAATACCACTGAAATAAGCGTTTTAAGTCCCATAGATGCGACCATGCATACTTCAGCAGAGCCAGATTTCATTGAGACACCTGCTACAGTTGATCCACGAGGAACCGTCTCACAATGGTTCGACTTGAAGAACATCACCAACAATTCAACATAACGGACCGCAATAAAGTGCAGCAAAAGCAGACTGGTGTTAGTGAGGATTAGAAATCTGTCTTTTTAGGTATCACTTTAGCAAACTTACGTATAATTCATATCGCAACAACAGAGAAGTACTCACACTGAAATATAATGTCACCCATTAACAAAATAGTACATGATTTATTCAATATCATATTCACAGTTTTGTCACTCAGGGCTTCAAATACAGTTCCACCATAGTAAAAACGCCGTTGTTGTTGTTTTTAAATTGTCATTGGTGCCAATGGCTGCACGTCTGTTTGCAGTCTTGTAGGTGATGCTGTGGTCAGTCAGCCCTGTGAATGTTGATTATACAAGCAAAAAAAAAAGCCCCGACCTATGCCAGCCGTTGCCTCAGGGTGGACATTATCCAGACATAGACAAGGCAGGCGTTAAATAAACATGTCTCTATGCGCGCTGCACAAAAAGCTGACGAAGAGAAGGCCCTGCAATTGTTAAGGCCGATGCCACTTCGAAGCTCACAATAACATTGGGTTATTCGACACAGAACATCTGGTTGCCAATGACGATTATCGAAGAATTTCAGATGGTTGGTTTTTTGTAGGGCAAAATTCACAGTTTATTCATTGTTTTAAAAAAATAAAATAAACCGAACCCTAAACATTGAACTTGTGTGGTTGCTGGTTTTCTGTTCTTGCTGCAGTACAATGAACCAACAGGAGAGGGCACTGTTGCATATGTTTTTAGAACGGCGTATGGATGGCCGGCAGCCTTCATGCAGATGCTTATTTTAAAATGAACCAGTGTACTGTGTAACATGTACGCTTAACATTTTTATCTTCCACGTACTTGTAGTCTGCATTGACAATTGAGGTTCATGTGAGACATGAATTACCGTGTAGCAATTCAAAAGCTGCTAGAAGGTTTATTTTAAATGTGGCCTCATCTTTGCTAATTTAGTGGATGCTTTAAATATGATAACCTTGATTGCCCACAAAATCAAAGGAATGAACCGGATTACTTTGAACTAAAGGACATGAAGACGTTTGGCTGTTGTGTACGCACTGTTTTCACCTTTATTATTGTGACCTCCCGTTATGCACCAAAGCATCTTTAAATGATAACAGTGCAGTGTTACGCAGTTACATGCATCATATACAATAGGCTGTGGGGCAGAAAATCTAAACTTCCTTGTGCCTTTGGTCCCCATCTGCTCAGTGAACTTATGAGCAGGAAATGGAATGAATGGTGCAAAAAGCCCGCCAACATCTCTTGTTCTTTCATGTGGCCTCTCTTGGTCATTACGCTATCTGTACCGACCGTTAACTGTCTTTACAAAGTTAGAAATCCCTTTCATGTCTCACTGTTTCTTTTTTGTTTTAATTTCAGTCAGAGCATATGGTTTGCACATCTGGGAGATGCTAAGCGTGGTGGCACCCAACCTCCACACACACTGCTTCTGAGAAGTGATCCATATATGGTCTTCATTGTTATTGCTCATAATCACTCATCATTATTATCAACAAGCCTCGTCTTCATTGGCGGCTTTGAGTTTGCCGTCTAACTAATGTGAGCTTCCAGTATTTCAAACAAACACCCCACATTTGGGGGAAGTTAAAACTTTGGGGATTTATTCAGAGCTGTGAAACATCATAAAGGCATTTTTCTTTACTCTATCCAGCAATTGAGCGCCGCTGACTAATCCCTGTCTCTTTACACGACCATTTGTGGGTGTCGTCCGTTTTTGGAACTCTGAACACTCTGGAGACATTTATGGGACATTCTTGGCCTACGTGTTTCTCCTGATTGAATCTTTCTGAACATTCTGCAGAAACCCTCTATGGGGGTGCAAAAACAAAATATTCCTGGTAAAGGTTGTCCCTTTGTCTCAGACCAAAGCTGTCCAATAAAAGAGCAGGGTGACAAACTGTGCAGCTTGTACCATGTGACCACAAACAAGCAATCAGATCAGATCAGGAGATTTAATAAGTGCTTCTCATCCTTGCTCTTCTGAGAATAACCACATTTGATCCTGCATAATAGAAAGAGTGTCATTAACTCACTGGTAACGTAATGACACCAAAATTAAGTTGAAATTACTATTGTGGTAAACTTTGGGTCATTAAATGCCACTTCAGCATCCTCTGCTCTCCCAATACCAACTCCCAGTGCCACGTTTTGGCCAGGCAGACGGGATTTAATACCACTGGAGAGATGCAGTGAGGATGAGGGGGGATGAAGGCTACGTGTGGCTTTGAGTGGTTTGCCGGGCCTCTTCATCTCGCTCGGCGGGTAATTACAGAATCATGGGTGAACCAGGCATGTAACCACGGTTACGTCGCACAGTAGCAGATGTGCTCTTGACATTATCCAGCACCAGAGCTAAAGGTAAATAAAAACAGATGCAGCTGGTTGCTACGGACCTTTGCCAAACTTGCGTATACCCCTAATTGTTCCCATGTGGGCCTGCTGAGCTGGAGCAATAAAAGGGGCGGGTATGCTCTGTGCAAGATCTGCCTGTATTTCTCAATGAGACAAATTTATGAATAGGACAAGGGGCCTCTGGTACGTGTTTATGTGTGTTTGGCCTTTTTTTCATTTGTAGAATAGCAGTTTCTTACAATCTCCCACAATTTTCTTGTGAGGACGAAACATGACTCGTGTCTTCTAGGCGTTTCTACAAGCATCACCACGTGCTTGAAGGCCTCGGAAGGGTGAGCATGACGCCGCGCGATGTCTGCTGCAGGCCAGTTGAAATGTTGAGGAAGAGGCTTGATGTCAGTGGTGCCCTGCATTTGCTGGACATCTGATTAGTGTGTGCATCCTGCACAGGAGCCACAATCTGCTGTGGTTTGTCATCGTGCGGGTTTCTGTTCAGGTTTACAGATTTGTTGCAGTGTGCAGTTATGAGACACAGGTTAAATGACGTGGAGGCCTCAGTTTGGACTTGAATCTCCTGATTAGGCCTGTTTGAAAGGTCAATAAACAATTTCTAGATTTTTTTTTACAATTCTCTGTTTAGATGTGTGGTGTCACACTGACTCAAGAGCACACACACACACATCTTCCACTATGAAGCTCGCTGCCAGCAGTGTGTCTCTCTCTCTCTCTCTCTCTCTCTTTCTCTCTCATTAACCGCAACTGTCAGATCCTCCAGATGAGGAGCAATTAAACCAGATAATAAACACTCGCCATCAATTCCTGTTTGTTGATGTTGTTGTTGTTGTTGTTGATGTTGATGTCGACGAGCTGGGGGCTCCTCTCCTGCCACCTTAGTGCTAACTAGTACTTGAGTAACACGCGAGAGCAGCGAGGCTAAAGTCCTCTACCTGCTGCATGAATGCCAACGCCAGGCTGATGGTGAAAAAAGTCACCGTGGATGTTAACAATTGGATCCTAATCAGACACAGCTCACACGGGCTGCTCTTTTATCCCCGGTCTTCACAGAAAAGGCAAACAAGGCGCTGCAAACTGTCAAGATAAAACACTGCTTGGGATTGGTCTTGTGTTAGGGCTTCTTAAAGGGCAGTAATCTTGCCGCGCGCTGCTTCCCGAGACAACGTGCTGTAAAAAACGCCCGTGTTTGCTCTTGTATTGGAGTGATAAGGCCGCTCCTCATCACGCCGCGCTCCTGGCGAGGCTCATCTCCCCTGGCGATGAGAGGAAGGGGCCGTGTCCGGGGGGGGCAGAGAGGGCGGCCATTGAGGTTTCGTTGACATTGTAGATGGAGGTCTAATGACAGAAAAAGGGTTGCAAATGAAAGTTTGGATATTTAGAGGAACGTCTTTTCATGTAAAAGGAGTAATGAAATGATTTAGCAAATGCACAAAAAAGATCCATATTGTAGAACCATCGCAGGATGGTTGAGGTTGGTCATGGACCTCAAATGGTTCAGGTTAGGATAGGAAGCCGCTGTCAGTTTTAAACTACATGCACGGTTGTTGTCAAAGTTGGGCAGCTACAACAGCCACAAATGAACCTGATTATGAACAGAGATTAAGTCACGTCACGGTAGTACTAATGTAACTTTGACTCTAAAGCAGAGATGAGGAGCAGGGTTCAGAGGTTTGTTCAGGGACTTGAATTTGTTCAAATGAACTGTAGTTGACCTCAAGAGAAAGGCAAGTGTGCATGTTCACTCTTGATTGTTTAACTTTAAAAAAAAAGAAGGGCCTGGGATGGTTTTCCACTTAAATTTGCAGGCCGGACAAAGCATTCTTAGGAATTTAAAGACAATGCCCTTTCTTTCAAAGGCTATAAAAACATGTATACAGCTGTACAAGGAGTTTCCTGATCCAAAGGCAAACTATGGTGTCAGATATTCCTATTACCAATCAGGATGGCGTGGTCTGGAAAATAATGTACAAGATGAAACTGTGGCCTGTTCAAAAAAAGCTAAAAAAACGGATTCGATTTCCTCTTCTTCATGGAAAAGTTGATGTGGCCTCTTGTTTTGAAACTATATTTCCCACAAAAACACTCTGAGAACCAAACAAAATTGACAGTGTTGGATTTATTACCTTCTGCTCTTTTGTCTTTTGCTGCCACTGTTTGTGCCTTTGCCATGGAAACGGCGAGGTTATTTATCTTTACAGCCCTTTTACAATAACGTCCCTTTCCTGACCAAACAACAGAGGAAATATCAGGTCAAGCCTCTTCCCCTTTCTAATGATCAGGTCAATTCAGTCTCAGTATTTCAGGCGGCTCGTGCACATTCACACATGTACACACACACCACGCTGTTGATGTGAAGCGTACAGTTTGTGATTCATATTTCCGTCTTGTTAGTGTGTTATATTTATTTAGACACCCTTAAGGGAAAGGGAGAATTTGAGTTTCTATTTATGCTCTGCCTGTTGGGAACCTCTAAATGGCTTAAGGCCGGAACACTAGATGGAGACAGAGGAAACTGACTCCCGGGTTAGACAGGTCGAAGAATACAAGTCACAGGGTTTAAGACATCGGAAAAAACACACGCACAAAGAAAGCGTATTGTCGTATTCCATTTTTCACTTTTGGTTACATAAACAATTATTTAATACGAATGACAGATTATTCAGGAGAAGCTTCTATTGTTCAGAAATCTACAGAATTCTGCCTGCTTTTAGAGACACTCTCCACTCTTCACAGGATGAATCCAATCATATGTTTTTCTCATACAAAACGTGCTGTGTGCAGTCATTTGCAAACATCTTGCAAATCCTTGTGACTTGTGTATACTTCAGCATACTCTCGCTGTCCGGCGCTGTCCCCGGTTTTAGCATGGGGGAGACGAGCAATTACTCCTTTTAAGGAACTGTTCTGTTGGAAGTGGCCTAGAGTGTATGCAGACTACTTTCTTCAGTCCACATGGACAGTGCTGATAATAGAGGAAACTGACAATTTACATGAGGAGGAAAAGGCATAAAAGCATGAGGTGCGTATAAGTGCATGTCACAATTAAATTACTTAATGGGTGGAAGTCCCACGATAGATCACATGAAATTTACATCAAGAGTCACCGTAATAAAGACTTTGTAAAACTTACATTGAAATTCAATTAGAGTGTTGAATGCATAACCAAAGCCGTGAAAAATGAACTCATTGGGGGTCCCTTTTCATTACTGCCCTGAGGCAAAAGAGACCATTAATTTAATACATTCCATGTTTTTTCACATGAGCATTTTTA